AACCAAAAACATGTTGCAACATTTAGATTAATTTTATTTCTGGTACCATGCAGAAATATTATTTTTAAGTTACACACACCTTGTTGTAATTACTCACAATTCGACACTTTTTAACGTAGATTTCGATGTTTAGTGTATGATTTATTGTATAGTTTATGGTACTATTTCTGTAATTAAACAGCAAAAATGAGTACTGGACATGTTAAAACAGACAAACCTTAATTGCAATAAATCCATGCAGCTGCCACTCAGGTACACACAGGATGACTAGAGAAGAAAATCTAAATCATTTTGAACTATTATTCTTACCGTATCTGTGAACAAGAAGTTGGAAAAACTAGAGTAGATTATAAAAAACCTAAACTTGTTTAAAAAGGCTACTGGGGAGGAACTACATCCATTAGATCTGGGGAAAAGTCATCTACTTAGTGTTGATGCTCTAACCAGTAATTTTACATTCACAGCACAGCACCAAATCGTTTTCTGCCTCACATTCTAAACCTTATTAAGGCAAGGAAGACGCTGTCTCAGAATCATTAACGTTATAGATATGATTGTTCACATTTACCTTTTGTTTCTTAATTTCTAGGTTTTAACATTTATTTGTAGAAATTAACATAATCAATAGGCAAAATAAGAACCCCCTCCCTTCTGTATTACTAAGCATTTCATTTGTACATTAAAATCCAAAAAGGAACGTCTCCTCATTAGATTAAATTGGACTAGTTTGCATCCCTAATCTACTTTAATAACCTCAGCTTCTCCATGGTCACCATAATTTCTATAATTTCTTTAACAACCAGTTTTTCAGACTGATCTTAAAACTAAAATATCATTTAACAATCAGGATATAATGTTACAATATGTGTACAGGACAGAGCTGTGCAGAAATTTAGTCTTAGCTTGTAAGTTATCTGATGTATTTAACACTGGAGGGGCAGGTAGTTATTAGTAATTAACATTAGATGCAGCTAAAAAACATTACTTATATATATGTAACTTTAGCTAATGTTACAGAGCAGCCATAAAATCCTAGTTTTTCTGCTCAGCTTCTTGTGGTCAACTCAGGGTAGACGTTTGCCAGCGCTAACTAACTGCCTTCCTTTTTCCAGCAGGGAAACAACAGACAGACTTTTACTAATGGACACGCTGTATCCTACACTGTACAGTTACTGTCACCCTTATACATACATTATATATTGCCCATGACCTGGAAGTAACTTATTTCTTTATAGAATTTGTGAGAAAATGGCAATTGGCCGATTGACAGTGATGTTTTCCCGCTCGAAGAAAAATTTTGCTACAGCTTGCTAGGAAAAAGCTAGCATTTTGTGATTTCCTCGATATCACTCTCTGCAGTTCAATCCTACGTTGACTGCTTGGGGGATACAGCTTCCAGGGCACAGAGTTTTGAGTCTTATGCTGCATTCAGGCAACACTGGGTACAATACAGTGGCAATAAAGAGCCACTAACTTCACTTTAAATCTGCAAGTATCCACACCAGTCTTAAGGTGGGCCATGTGCAAAAAGAAACCCAAAAGGATGTTTAAAAGCCTAAAACATACGGTTTTGTTCTTAACATCACCCTGTTAACTTCTATTTGTGTGACAAAACAGAATTACAACTCTAAATCAGAGGTCTGAGAAAGGTCACCTTTGCCAAATCGAAATATGAGTTCCAGACCAGAGCTGTTAAGTTGTTTTGTTCATAATAATGCAGCATAAAGTCAAGTGAGGAGTCAAAAAAATGTGTCAGTGTTGCTTGCTTGTCACTCAATTTACTTGATGTTTTTTTTTCAATATGTCCAGGAGAAGGCAGGTTTTTTTTTTTTAAATGTAATGACTTCTACCTTATGTAATGTAATCTACAGTTGTTTACAGTGGGGGAAATAAGTATTTGACCCCTTGCTGATTTTGCAGGTTTGCCCACTTACAAAGAATGCAACGATCTATAATTTTAATCATATGTACATTCTAACAGTGAAAGACAGAATCCCAAAGAAAATTCCAGAAAATCACATCATATGAATTTATAAAAATTGATAACCATCTGATGAGGAAAAACAAGTATTTGACCCCCTACCAAACAGCAAGTATTCTGGCTCCTACAAGCCAGTTAGTCTTTCTTTAAGACACAGCCCCAATCCCAACCAATTATCTACATCAAATACACCTGCCTCACCTCGTTACCTGTATAAAAGACACCTGTCAACACCCAAACAACCAGCATCCAACATCACCACCATGGGCAAGACCAAAGAGCTTTCTACGGACATCAGGGACAAGATTGTTGATCTGCACAAGGCTGGGATGGGCTACAAGAGAAGATCAACTGTCGGTGCAGTTATCAGGAAATGGAAGAAGCACCACACCACCGCCAACCTCCCTCGGTCTGGGCCTCCACACAAGATCTCGCCTCGTGAGGTGTCCCTGATCATACGAACGGTGAGGAATCATCCCAAAACCACAAGGGGGGAACTGATGAATCAACTGAAGGCAGCTGGGACAACAGTTACAAAAGAAACGGTTGGTAACACACTACGCCGTCATGGATTGAAATCCTGCAGCGCACGCAAGGTCCCCCTGCTCAAGAAGACACATGTACAGGCCCGCATGAAGTTTGCCATTCACCACCTGGACGACTCAGAAGAGGCCTGGAAGAAGGTGATGTGGTCAGATGAGACCAAAATAGAACTTTTTGGCCTCAACTCAACTCGTCGTGTTTGGAGGGCAAAGAACACCGAGTACAACCCAAAGAACACCATCCCCACCGTCAAGCATGGTGGTGGCAACATCATGCTTTGGGGGTGCTTTTCAGCCAAGGGGACGGGATAACTCCATCGTATTGAGGGGAGGATGGACGGGGCCATGTATCGTGGAATTCTGGACCAACATCTCCTTCCCTCAGTGAGAGAGCTGAAGATGGGTCGAGGATGGGTGTTTCAGCACGACAACGACCCTAAGCACACCGCCAAAGCAACAAAAGAGTGGCTGAAGAAGAAGCACATCAAGGTTCTGGAGTGGCCTAGCCAGTCTCCAGACCTGAATCCAATTGAAAATCTTTGGAGGGAGCTTAAAATTCGAGTTGCCAGGCGACAACCTCGGAACCTGAATGATTTGGAGGCTGTCTGCAGGGAGGAGTGGGCCAACATCCCTGCCGAAATGTGCACAAACCAACTATAAAACCGTTTGACATCTGTGCTGGCCAATAATGGCTTTTCTACAAAATATTAACATGCTGTTTGTCCAGGGGGTCAAATACTTGTTTTTCCTCATCAGATGGTTATCAATTTTAATAAATTCATATGATGTGATTTTCTGGAATTTTCTTTGGGATTCTGTCTTTCACTGTTAGAATGTACATATGATTAAAATTATAGATCGTTGCATTCTTTGTAAGTGGGCAAACCTGCAAAATCAGCAAGGGGTCAAATACTAATTTCCCCCACTGTATATAGTGACTGGGTGTCCCGTATAGCCACAACAGGACACCAGTGTGCACGTTTGAAAAAAGTAATGTATTCTCTGAAGTGTGTTCTTTCATTAGGTGGAGCCATTTTCTTGTTTTGTTGGTGGATTGATGTAATGATTCTTCCATCTTTTGTAGTGTGAGGCTGAGCTGGCCTTCTTGCTGTTTGACTAGTAGGCCTAAATAAGACCTGAGTACAGCAGATAGGAAGATAAACATAGCCAAAATTAAAATACATAACATTACAGACAGTCAAAGATATCCCTAAATAGATTTGAAAATATAAATTAATATTCTATCATTTGGTCTTTGCGAGTGCATTGAATCAATGTTTAAATTTTCACCCTCAACCAAAATGATGATTCCAATGGAATTTCAACATTGATTGGTGATTAGAAACAAGTCACCTCCTTTTTTGCAAGTTGGAAAGTGTACGGGAGTTTCATTTGCACTATAAAATAGCATAAAATACATAAAGTAAGTAATCAAATTTGTACAGTAGTTGAGTAGCTGTACTTAGTTACTTTCCACCACTGGTGAGAACAAGACAGTGACCGTCTTCATTGCTCCCTTGCTACATGCTTATTAGCATTAACAAGGACAGCTATTAGTTTTTGTTATGATCAGACTTAATAGTCTATCTATCTTAATATTGCCTACATAGCCCTAATTTATTGTTTTCATGTTGTTGTTTTTTTTTACAAATGCAGTGTCAATCGGGATAAAAAGTTTAATTCTTATGATGTTTTGCAAAAATATATAGTTATTTAAATTATATCAACTGAATTATTTAAAGACAGAATTATAAGCCACATGATGGACAACCAGTTAGTAGCGCTGCAATACAATCAAAAATCAAATGTAAATCAGAGCTATATACAATATTTTTTAAAATACTGAAGTAATACATCTGAGGGACTGAGAGATATTGTTACGAAGTGGATGATGTAAGTTATTGCAATCTAGTAGCCTACCAATAGAGGGCTCCCGTGCTATTTCCATAGTGGAGATTAGTTGGAATCAGAGTGTAAACTGCATACCCAAGTCAAGAGGCTGTTCCCCCATGAGGGTGGTGTTGTAATGTAGATGTGTTATCTGCACTAAAGCCAGCTCAACTGAAAATAACATCTTTGCATCTGAAAACTGATATCTTAAGATAGCACAGATATTTTGAAACCTGCAAAAAGTTTGTGAATTGTCTTGACAAAAAACACACACATCATATTTTCCTTTGAAAAAATACCATATTTAACTTTTATTAGCACTTCAGGTCCCCATATTCCTAGAAAAACATTGAGCGAATGGACTCTGTGACTTTGAAGTCATTTCAGAACATGTTTTAGAACATATTGCCAAAAAATATAGATTTCTCGGTACATCATTGTCTTTTTTTCACAGCATGGCAACATTCAAAACACTCAAAAACAAAGAGAAGTAGCCTATATCTTAGTGTCAATTCTTCCTTTCTTTTTTATAACCACATCTCAGTATGACTCAACAGAACAGGAAGTGACAGTTACTAGAAGAACATTTATGCTTCCTCTCTGTACAAAATGTAGAAGTCCATGTTTTGTACACTGCAACACCAAATCTGGCATCAAACCGACACTCTTCAAATCCATTCATTACTTGGACTTTCTGACTGCATGGATTTTGGACATGTACCCTGAAGTTCCTGAATTACTGTTTTTTAGCCACACATAGCTTTAGATTAGAAGTGTGATCAGTGTGAAAGAAACATCCGTTTACAGAACTGAGTACTTCCTGCTACTTTGTATAAAGTGGTAGTCAGAACAACAAACACGCGCCGCACAGCAGCACCTGGGCCCTCGTCAGCTTTCCATCAGTGAGGTAAGACACGTGTTCTTCCAATGAATCAATATAAGATCTTAAAATCTGGTAGCTGAAGCTGATGTTGGGTGATAAAAAGAAGCATCTGATAAATCTGACTTCCTAGTTGATGCAAACTATATAAGGCTGCGGGTTTCTAAGGGAAGTGTCTAGTCTGTGTCTTGAATTTTCAGAAAATTATATACTGGATAGTGTTGTTTTTTTTAAAAGTGTGAACATTTCCTGTTTCTTCTATCAAGCAGTGCCGTTACAGTCAGCATGTTAGTGCTACGAAGATGTTCTCAGGGAGAGGCTGAAATGAGCTGAACTCAGTTTTTAGCAGATTTGTATCCTCACATCCTACCCTCTGCTTCACCAGCAGCAAGGTAAGACACTGACAGGTGTCTCTAAAGACACATAAAAAAATATTCTGGTTAAATGTTGCTGGTTTGGGGATCTACTAGTTCCTTTTATGTAATGGTGTTGGATAACATTTATTTCCTGCTCTCTAAAAATGTTTTTCCCTTAAAGGAGGTTGATTTATCACATTTGTTTAATTTCTACCATAAATCCCTGTTGTATTCTTAACATTTCAAAAGTTACCGCAACAACATCTGATTTTTAACCCTTTGCTACAGTTTCAATGTTTCTCTTGTATAAATAAAATGTGGATTCTGTTTGTACGGACTGCGTGTAAGAAATGTTAAGAAAATGCTAGTTCTGTGCTTTGTCATGTGAAAATAGGTGCGGTGAAAGACGTGTGACTGTTTCATCATAAGATGTCGTTGCACATACATGACACATTGATTTTCCACCTTGTGCGTGTGTGTCTTTAACTGTAGAAAAGATTTTGTAAATTTGAGTCTTTTCTGTCATTCCAGATCTTTTAAACAAACAATAATGCAACTCAGTATGAAGATATATCTGGCTCTGCTATGGGGAATATCTATCTGGTTTTCTATAGAGTCCATGAGTGCCTCCATCCCAGAAACCAGCAGCGTTAAATCAACTGCTGAACCCGACAGGACAACAAAGCAGGTGATCAGTCCACATGAAGCTCATGCTGAAACAGAGACGCAGCCAACTCACAAGCCAGCAGAAGTTAATGCTGCTGAAACAGCGCAGAAAACGTCGACAGCCACAGTGGGAAAGGAAGAGCCAAATGTCACTTACAGTAGTGACAGCCCAAATGACAGCACGGTTGATTTGGTTGCCATGAACACTGCGGCAGCAACAGCAAGCAGCTCGGGTCCAAGGTGGTTTCCAACCACCACAGCAGTGATCACAATTGCAAGTGAAGCACAACCTTCCCACAACACGATGATCTCAGAACCTGTAAAACCTACTGAGGAGAAGTTACATCAACGATCAAGCACCACTTCTACTGATATGACTGCTCCTGTGACAACTCCCGCGACAACTTCTGCAACAACTCCTGCCACAACTAATGCAACAACTCCTGCGACAACTCCTGTGACAACATCTGCAACAATTCCTGTGACAACTCCTGCAGCATCCTTAGCAACAGTGGCCACGTCTTTGCCGCAGTATACCTCCACCACTAAACCTGAAGTTACATCCACGTTATCTTCCACAACCTCTCCTGCTGATTCAACTCAGGCTCCAGTCTTCATCCAGAACTTCACCAGTCCATCAGCTTCTACCACGACCACAATGACAGCGAAGCCTACCTCTGACTCCACTTCTTTGCCAGTCACAGTGAGTGAGACATCCACCACCAGCACTGAGCTTTCATCAACACACCGGCCCGTTTCCGTGACGAGAAGCCACATCTCCACATCACAGTTTGCTGACACAGCAAGGTCGAGCTCTACCGCTGAGCTTCCCACAACCTCATTCTCAACCGATTCTGCCATCTCCACCACTGCCGCTATCTCCTCCAGTACTGCAGGAATCTTGGTCCCTCGGGGAACCAAGAGGCGGCCAATCCCAACAACCAAATCAACTTTGCCTACTACGTCAACACCTTGTGAAGTCCCAAAGAGTCCACCCAGCACTGAGGTCCAGCCCTGCTCCACCTGGAGCGTGAAGAAGCAGTGCCTCATCGCTATTGCCTCCCTGGCTGCGTTGGCCACCATCTTCATGGTTTCTACCATTGTCCTCTGTGCAAAGCTGTCAACAAGGAAGTACAAGGTCAAGAAACCTAAGCAGGCCACAGAGATGATGTGCATCTCGGCCCTGCTGCCTGAAAGGAATTGCACCTACACAAGACAACGCAGTCCAGTGACTAATGGGGTCCTGGTGATCCATGGTGGTGGAGACAGCGATGAGGATGTAGGAGACAACCTCACTCTGAGTAGCTTCCTTCCAGAAAATGACCGTTTTGTTTAGATGGAATTATTTTTATTGTCACGTACATGCTTTCATCAGACTGGACTGGTTTGTCTCATGTCAGTGACGTGAAAACAGTTGCTGATTGGATCAACTCATGCTTCCTCTTTGATGTTGGTGGTTTGGCTTCGATGCACACCATATTCCTGTGGAGGAAGAGACAGAGAAACCACAAAGTGTAACAGTGACTTTCATTTTCACATACCATTAATCGTATCTGGCATTTGGTGAGGTCATGTCGTCAAATGTGTATTTTAGGCGAGGGTTTTTGCATAATTTTACACTTGAGTCAGGAAGTCAAGATGAGTGTTCAAAGATTTTTTTGTGTCTGACATCCTGAGCAGAGCACTGAAGGTATTTCACTTAGCGACGGGAGACAGGAAGGCTTGTTTTGTCAAAGGATTACTGTTCTTCACAGACACTGTTCAGTTTAGTGGTAGCAGTGAGGCTTAATCGCATGAATGCTGTCCACTGATCAATCAAAAGTCTGTTATGGCCCAATAATTATTGGTAAGAACTAAGTGACAGCAAGAAGGCTGTGGGTTTGAGAGTTGTTAGCTTCTGTGTGCCCTATGATGGACTAGGTTAGCCCCCGCATCCCTGCAAAAGTGGGATGAGCAGGTATGGAAGATGGATGGATGAACTATGTGATTTGGGACTAACTTAATAGAAACAATTTAGTTAAAGTTAGTTATGTTATGTTTTGCTTATTTGGCAGATTACCAGTTGAAAACATTGAGTGTTTTTGCCTATAATTACTGCCAACACCGTGTTAGGAAATTAAGATAAGGGATTACCAAAGTTTTACTTGCTTGTTCCTTCAAACAGACAGCTGTTCACTCTGGCATTTAAAATAAGAACATGAATTTGAATTTTGAATTTGAATTTATTTCAGGATAACCCCTAGAGATGTATCATCTCATTTTGGAGGGGGTCCTGCAACATGTATGTATGTACAGACACATAAGTTAACCACACAGTACATATACATAAACAAATTCAATACATAGACATATATACAAAACAATAACTCACGCACCTTACCCCCACATTTAACACAGCAAACAAAATAAAGTACATTGACAAAATAATCAGCAGAATGCATTGAACAACTAATAAGTCGTTTATCAATATGCCTTATGACAAATGTAACAAAGTCACATCTCTCATGGAAAAGTCAAATAAAGTAATAATAATAATAATAAAGTAAAATCAAGATAAAGAAAGTCATGATTGTGTACATACTACTGTATATTTTCCACATAAACCTTTTATATGTAATACCATTTGTACCCCTAATACCAAGAATAGTTTTAAGAAAAGAAAAAAGTGATGATTTGAATAAACCAAACATGATAACAGATCTCAAGAAAAGAGAAAGGTTATTCACGTCTGGAGGGGCCTTATACTGAAATGCTCTCCTACCAGCCACAGAAAATAACCTTGGTACCATAAAAAATGTTGGACGTTGGAGGTGTCTAAGTGAGTATGTTGAGCAATAATGAATTAAATACTGTTTAAGGTATGCAGGACAATTGGTATAAACAAATTTAAAGATAAACAGAATCCAGTGGTATTCCCTATGTGGTTTAGGTTGCAACCATTTAGTGAGTCATTCATAAAACAATGATGGACAGTTCAAAATAAATCTGCAAAGGGAATTTAATACAGCATTAAGGGGTCTAAGATTAGACTCTGAGGTATTAGGGTAAACTATGTCTGCATAATCAATGATTGGTATTACCAGTTGATAAATAAAAAAATTTCCAACTTGAGTTGAAAAACAATTGATCGATCTGTAGAGAGTGCCAAGACAGCCATGTACTTTCCTAATGATATTGTCAATGTGTATCTTGAAGGTGAGGTTGGGGTCCAACCAGGGGCCCAAATATTTAAATTCTCCCACATTCTGCATAAGGGACCTGTTTAAAACTTTATTTCAAAACACGAAGCACATTGGCAATTTTGTATTGTGGAAAACACCATACAGGACAGTTTATTACTGAACAGCCACTGTTGTACTTTATCAAAGTCAGATGTTCTGAGTAATTTCAGATAAACATTGTAGTGTTCAGACAGTGAAACCAATCAAGACAACAGGGTTCTGTTTCTTGTATTAAAAGCAGACTTTTTGTTTCATGTCCTTGTGTGTCTCTAAATGGTTAATAGTCATAATAAAACTAAGCGCTCTGTGGACTAAGTCAGTTCCCTTATTTATGAAAGGCTTTATAAAAGGCTTTTCTTTTTACCCTGGACAGGATTTCATATTGACTTCCCTTCCTGCGAAAAGAAAACAGAGCCCTGAATGCTTATTAGGGCCTTTTTTTACATTCAGCAATGTGCCTCTGAAACAGACACCGGTGACTATCAACAGAGCTGAGACAAATGTAAACCTGGACGATGCAGAACCGCATCTCATGCTCGCTATGACCATATAAAGTTAGACTTGTCTTGACTGATCACAAACACAGTAGACTTGCCAAAAATGCATTCGCTAACTGTAGGCTCACTTATACGCAGTCACACACGCTCCCTAAAGCGGTTATACACACCGTGTGAGTTTAATTGCTTGCCTCTGGAGAAAAATCCCCCCTCTCCTGGCTGTTACGGGTGTTTTGTCCACACAGGAAGCCTTAACCTCTTCCTGCATTAGCTGGTCACTCTTACAAGCTGCTCTCTGAGTCTTTCTGCCCCAGCAGGGCTGCTGTTGGTCATCAGTGTCAGACACTGAGGTTACAGGAGAGGCCAGACAGTCAATCAGAGGCTGCTTCAGCAGAAATCATGGAGACATATTTTAAAAGAGAACATAGTAACGTTGCTGATGATGATGTTTCAGGGTTGGTTCGTGGTGTTTTTATCATCTTAAGTCTTTTTTTCCCATCCTGCCAGTGTTGTCTTGGCCTTGCACATCCAGTTAGCCACACAGGAGAGTGAAGGAGAAGTCCCTGCCCCCACAGCACTTTACAAACTCCTACCTAACAAGAACAATCTGTGTGCAGGCCTGAGAGCTCATACTCTCAGGAAAACTGAAGGGGGAGGAGAACGGTGGAGAGGCAGAAGGAGGGATTTGTCCTCACGGTTAACAACCAGCATCTCATTTTTTTGCGCTATCCAGACAAACCTCCACTCTGAAATCTGAAACTGCAAAAGTGGCGTGGCTCACCAAGCATTTGCCACTCTTTTCTGTATGCTCTCTCTCTTTCACTTCACTTCACTTTTTCCAGACTGGTTTCACCCATCCTCCAGCACAGGCAATTCCAGCAGAGACGATTCTTCTTCCCCAAGTGGACGGTAAGTAAAACGTTTTTACATTTCATGTAGTTTTTACTCAAATTGGGGTTTTTTTTGTTGAATGTTGCACACTCAAGAAACTTGGGGGGGTTCTTGACATCATGTGAGCTCACATGTCAACCTGAAGTGGGTGATGTGACAGCATCATGATGCCCTCAGAGCAGCATTGAGCCTCAGGAAGTAAGCATATTTCTATTAAAAGTTAGAGACAACCTTTTGTGAACAAAGACAGAATCTAGGTCACAATTTGTTCCATTTGTGTCATTTTAATAACCGTGTATATGATCACCTTAAGTGTGTATGTTTAGATGTCTGATTGCATAAGCATGTGTGGCCATGTATATTTGGTCTGGGGTAAGTGTGTGATTAATTCTGAAAAAGAAAAAAAAACTCAAACAAACAAAACCCCCGCTTTTTCCAGATGAGAGCAGAGTTTCATGCGGCCCAGCTTGCATACAGATGGAGCAAAATAAAGATATGGTTAGATATAAGTGTGGGAGCTGCTGCCAGTTGACACACAGACCGAGCAGAGAGCTGATTGTGTTCCAACTAAATGACTATAGCAAACTAAAGCAGTGTTTAAAGGGTTGGTTCACCCACTTTTTACTTTAACATTTTTAACTTTTAAATATTGGGTTTCTGCTACTATATAGCATGTGTGCTCAGTACATCCATTTCATCTGAATGAGTAAAATGTTTAGGCCGAGCTGGAATAAAGTCAGTGTATTTAACTTTTTCGGACAATAAGCAAAGAGTAATGACTGGTGAAATTTTTGTTTTGGTACAATCAAGTGAACTTATACTATATACAAAACTATCATACCTAGGAACTGCTCATTGCAATACAAATAGCATTTAATATGCAGAAACTGTGCTGTGGATATATTACTGAAATATGTACAGTATACAATATTGGAGGTTTGATGCAGTTTGCATGGATGTTTTCACCCAATGAATCCTTGCTTCTAAACACAATTGTGTACTAGGCCCAGTATGTATTACCACTACAAGTTAGAGAACTAAGCAACTGCTTTGCCGAAACCAGAAGGAAACAACAATTTCTGCTGTTCTGAAGGTTTTCCAGAATCCTCCAAGAGTCTTGTGTTGCAAAAAAGTCCTGCGCGAAATCATACCTGTTTCGAGTTTTGACTATATTACCATAAAACTTCAATTAATGGCCCAGGCTTTTATTTGCTTAAATCACTGGACTCACCCTGCCTATATTTGGGACAGTCATCTATGTTGGACAGGTCTTTAATTCCTTTACCATCCCAGTAAATTGGAATGAATTATACTTTGGTGCTCATTGTTTCCGTAAAATGAACTGAATTGTGGAGAAACTAACTGATCTAACGATGTGTAGCATCTCCATATAACAACACTTACGACCTAAGCAGCTCAGAACTAGCTCAAGCAGGTGACCCAGTGGACTTTATTTTATACATCCAGAGAACTTCTATAAAAGCCAGACCACGCTTCTAATTGAGACCTGCGTTTATGTGTCAAAACGTGTAGCCACACCAGGCCTGTAAAAGGGACAGGCTTCTAATTGGTACAAGGCTTTTAATTGAAGTTTTACGGTAAGTTTTGTAAAAGTGTTTTGAGTGGTTAGAAGGCTAGAAAGGCACTATACGAGTACAGACCGTTTACCAAATATAAACACATCTATGTAGACAAATATAACTGATAATTTAAAAAAAACTATTTATAGTTTTGTTCATTGTACAAATTGAGCATGGACACATGTCATACCATCCTAAGCAGATGGTTAAAAGAGTCCTTGAGGATTCTGGAAATACCTTCAGAACGGCGGTAAGTGTTGTTCAAGGACCGTCTGTGTTTTTCAAAGATCACCAGGTATTTCTTCTTCAGAAAAACAGATACTTTACCGCTCTTCACATATGGTACTGACATTTTAGTTACTGATGTTTACTGCTGTTTACAGATCCAGAGGGGAAACGATGCTCCCGATGGCCCTTCATCAGATTGGTCTTTGTGTGGTGTTGTGCATCAGCAGCAGATTGGCCACACCTCTTCCTCTTTACAGTTACGTAGAGGGAAGTACAGACGAGGAAGAACTCATTAACTTAACATCCTTTCTGCCCTCCAACACCTGGTCCTCTGAGTACCAAACCACACCGGCTGACTCCATCCATGTGGAAACAGACTTTCTGAGTCAACTTGTGAACTTTCTGGAGGAGAACATGCTCCTTATCCTTGTTTCGGCCACTTTCATCCTTCTTGTCTTCCTTATTATCTGTGGGGCAGTTTTCATGAGCCGCAGGCGCAAAGTCAATGCCTACTACCCTTCCTCCTTCCCCTCAAAAATGTATGTGGACCACAGTGACAAAACAGGAGGTACTAAACCCTTTAATGAAGTGCCAGAAAAACCCGCTCCTGAGCAGGAAAGTGAGTCAGTGGACTCTCACAAGCAGCTCCAGGCAGACATTATGAGGGCTGCCAAGAGCCTGCGCACACCAAATAAATGTGCTGATGCTGCAGACGGAAGCGACCCCAGTCAGAAAGTAGCAGACCAGTGTCCCGAGGACAGCTCTAAACCAGATGGCAGCAACCTGGACCAGCAGCTTCCAACTCTCCCTGAGGAAAAGGAGCTGTGTGAGCTTTCTGACAGCGAAGCAGCAGGCAGCCTTGTGCTGAATCCTCCAGAGCAGGCTCTTCCAGAGGAAGATGATTCACAGGAGCCTTCGACTGGCAAGAGTCTGCGGCCCTCCTCTCTGCATATTCACAATGACTCTGCCACACTTCAGCTGATCGCAGGAGCAAAAACTGCCTTCTAACTACTCTGAACTATGTAACCTGAATATATTATAACGCTTTGAATCCACAAATGGCAATTTGTCCAGTGAACCTTTTCAAAAATGTCCACAAGTTTATAAAAGGGAAATTACAAGTACAATTACAGTCTGAGGTGTTTTTTCTGATGTAATGTTTTTATTCAGTGCAGGGAAGATACATATTGTTGCTTTGCTCTGACTGGATGTATCATTAATGCCATATTATAAACACATCATTAACATCAAAGCACACTTCTTTTTATGGGGAGTTCTACAATTTCATTTATTTTGTGTCTAATTCCTTAAACTTTCCAGCATAGGGGCCACTTCAGTGAACTTTGTGTGGTATGGTCCCAAATACTTTTCACTTCTGTGCAAAACAGAGTATTGACATTGTATAGATCAGTATCTGAATATTTAAAAATTAGAAAACTTTTGATTTACATGCAAGCGCAGTAAAATTCAGGTCAACAGCAAACTTCAGTTACAGTTCTTTTTTCAAAGCAGACATTTTAATGTTATAACAGAAAGTGCACATGTGTAATTAATAGCATCGATGGTGTGCATGTAGATTACTGAAATGCTTTACATGGACACTGAGCCATCATTAATTACACGTGTACATCAAAATATCTGACGTTAAAAAGATTACTATTCAGGCTACTCAAAGTAATAAATTACACTCCAAATAAGGTTTGATTCTGGATACTTTTATTTCATACTGTCAAGTAAGCATTACTAAATAATTATAAATTACACTTCAAACCAGTGGACCCTTTCATTGTTTCAAGCCACTTCATTGCATATCAAAAGGTCAGTGCTTCGGGATGCAGACAGGATAAAGCCAAAAGCTTTAATCAATGTCTCCATCCCACCATTCAAAATAAACACTTCTTATGCATTAAATCTGAAAATATAACACAATCTCAAAAATAAGGCTCAACTTTGTACCAACCACTCAAACAGTGTTTACATTGTGCGTTTACATGACAGGCTAAATGATACAGTATACGGGGTTAGAGGACCACAGACTAGTACAGAGAACCTGGTGTAACACTGCTACAGAGGGTTGACAGTGTGTTTGTCAACAACATATTAGGTGTGCCTCATCAATACTGCAGGAAAGTGAGGGGTTGATGCTGGATTATTACTTCTCTTCTTGGCAGCATGAAGCAAGCAGTGGTGCCCAGCTCAGAGTTAAGAGTGCTCTGGTTAATTAGCGGCCCTGAGTGCCTCCTGCTGGTCGTCCTGTTGCTTGAGACGATAGTCAGCCAGTGCAGCTTTGATAGCATCCTCTGCAAGCACTAAGGAGAAACAATTACAGGTTAAATATATATAGATGTGTGGGGCAGTTTGGAAAAGAAGAACATCATTAGAAAAATTCACTGAAAACTTACTAGAGCAGTGAAGTTTGACTGGTGGAAGACTGAGCTCTTTGGCAATGTCAGTGTTCTTTATCATCAGAGCTTCGTCCACCTGGAAAGAAAAGCGCAAAGCTCCAGTAACCACAAAAACCATTCCAGTCAATCATAAGAAATGAGCAGAGCAGAATAAATAAGAACATGAAAAGCAATGCATAACCCACTCCAAGATGTTTGTAATGTGTTCACTCACAGATTTGCCTTTCACCCACTCAGTAGCCAAAGAGCTGGAGGCGATAGCGGAGCCACAGCCAAATGTTTTGAACCTGGCATCCACAATCTTCCCCTGGTCATCCACCTCAATCTGTCAAAAGAAGAGTTTTCTGAATAATCCAATTCTTAAAAACTACCAGTGGCCATTTCATTTTCATCCAGTGCTTTAAAATAACTGCTCCAGCTATTGTTCAAGTATAACAGCACGCGGTGTTTTCTCTAAAAACTACCAGCATAAGTGCTTTATAGGAATAAACTGAATAATTTAAGACTTAGCAACATCTACATGGTAAAACAAGAATGTAATGTATCAGTGCTCCGTGCGCGGTTCTTCCAAGTACTTTTAACTGTGTTAATATAATTCAGTCTTAATGGCTCTGTGTGAATACAAAAGGGTGTAATCCATCCCTGCTTAGTGATAAACATACCTGCAGCTTCATTACATCTCCACAGGCTGGAGCGCCTACCAAGCCAGTCCCAACATTCTTGGACTGTTTGTCCAAGGATCCCACATTTCTTGGGTTCTCATAATGATCCACCACCTTCAGACAAAAAAGAAAGGAAACACTGTCTCAAAACAATAGTAATGCGTCAAAGTGAGTTTTAGCGAATTGTTAAGTGTTTCCACAAAACTGAAATAAATGTGATGGAGTAAAACAACAGAGACATCCAGGTAGTTTTTTGCATTCTAGTACAATGAGAAAAATAAAGTCTAGAAGTCTTGAACATCATGGTTAAACAACTACAAGTTTTCACCATTACATAAGGGACATTGAAATAAACAGATTAGGACCGGATTTCATTGTCAGCTATAGCAACTCCTGCATCCTGCCCTCCTCCCCCTAGTTTCTGCTGAGTCATTCTGACAAAAACAATATGAAGTGGCTGGCTTTGTACGTAGAATAAAATAAGTTAAAATCTATTTTATTACAGAAATGTTTCAGAGTACATCTTCAAGGGAAAGCAGGTAACTTTTTTTGCCAGATAGGATGTCAGATTTAAGGCCAGGCTCACGAGATAATAGCCTGTAGTAATAGTAAGTCACAGCCCCCCCCCCCAAAAAAAAGTAAATTCAGTTTTAAGTCATTCAAACTTTAAGACCATTTCTGTTGGTTAAACCAACTTAACCTGAATCTTTGATTCAGACTGCCACAACCCTGTATCTCCGTGTTGCACCAGGTCACATCACACAATGCAACTACAGCTTAACATCTGAATAGGGCTGTTGTGTAAAGATGCTGCATCCTCATGAAGAAACTATTCTTCCACAGGTATGACAGAACATTAACAGGTTTCTAGCACACAGTGCTCTTCACCACGCTTAAGTCTTATTAATCGGATGTGATTCAAGTATTAAAGCTGTGGCAATGGCCAGCTGGGGGGGGGGGGGGGGGGGGAGATTAGTGACGTTGTTCTAGTCTTCAACTTGCTAACAGGAAACATATAACGTTAATGTTATGTTAGTAAGTGTTATGTAAGTGAGTAGCCTATTTATCACCATCTGTCCACCTCCCCTCGGTAACATCGGTGCATTATAAACAATTTTAAATTAGACTGATGTAACTGTTAACCTGAGATGTTTGCACAGCCGAGCGCATATAAGCTTAACGTCTTTTGGTTAACCTTAGCTACTCTTATAAAGCTACAGCTGATCAAGGTTAATGGTAATAACATTAGTAAACACTAACGTTTACCAAGCAGCGGCCTCCTTCAGTAAAGTAATAACAGATTTAGGTGTTGTAACGTTACCTTCTTGTGGTAGCAGCACTGGGTGATGAACTCCGGAGCAGAGAGCCTCCTGGTGAGAAAAGCCAGAGGACTTAAACACTTGTTTGCCACGGTACTCGCCATGATGTCAGTCAACGGGAATGGCGCAGTTGAAAACAAGACCGCAGCTCGTAGCCTAAAAAAACGTCACTGTCCGGGGGAGGGGCTAATCTAATCACATCTGCGCATGTCCAGTTTACTTAAACCAGTGAAGGGAAAACAAAACAAAGTCTCTCATTTCATAAATTGGGAACATAACATTTTTGTTTAAAGAATGAAATGATGAATCAATCATCAAAATTATTATTTATCTGTTGATCAACTAATCGAATAATCCACTAATCACTTCAGCTCAATAAAGTTGTTTCAACAAAATAATCTTTATTAACTTTTTAATGGTGACATTAGCTTTTATTGGTAGACATTATCCATCCCAATAAGCAGTGGTAAAAAATTATTACAGTACATTTACTTAGGTACGGTTCTGAGGTGGGGTACTTTCTGTACTTTTTACTTTTACTCTACAACATTCCACAGGCCATTGTTACATATTGTAGTTTTTACTCCACTGGATTTACTTGATAGTTACTTGGCAGAGTAGGATTTTATTTTGGCTAGATAACATATCGCCTTTTAAATATTTTGCACAGTTATTGATTACACTCGCAGTTACAGTGTGAAACTATTCAATTGCTAGTATAAGTCAAATTAACAAAAGGAAAAAGGAAAAAATACAAAAGCAAAAGTACTCTATTCTACTTTAATATTGTAGCAGAGGCAAATTCTAACAACTTTATGTACTGTTGGGTTGTTTATTGTTTAACAATCCATCATCATAGGATGGAAAGAAGGTTTTAAGTAATTGACTGCTTTTATGAAAACTGATGTGTTTGTTAGATGCCTTGTGATTATTCTTTGAAAACTATTTACTCAGCATTTCTTCCTGTTACATAACAGTACCATATGATTTTTAGGGAACTACACACTTACAACAACAATGTCTCTGTAAAATGAAATTAAACTTTGAACTGCTTGATAAATGATCTGAAATTGACTACTATGATGTTGTTGACATATATTTCAGCAAGTATTGGTAGGAATTCTGGGCCTCCTGAATATTTCTCATGAAAATATTATTGACCATAAAGTTATTGTTTCACTGTTTAGTGTGTACACTACAGTTCTTTCACTCTTCTAAATATGGAAGCATCCACAGTTTCAAACATGTGGAAAAGATCACATGCTGAACATCTAAAATATACAAGCCAAAAACATCCTCTTCCTGATATTTTCTTATTAATCTCCAAGAGATTAAGGTCACTCAAAGACCTCAAGGTAAAAGAGGTAAATTATAGTCTTAAATATCCATACATTTCTCTAGTCTTGATAATATCCTTTATAAGGTGAATTGTGATGAACATAATGACTAGTTTTGTTTTAAAAGTGTGGTTTTGCTAATTCTACTAATGTTGTCATGTGTGTTTGTACATTTTGAGAATGCATGATGTTGACTGAATTTAGATTTTTTGTTGTGATGATGTGTAGTATTTCTGATGACTTTTTTGTATAGTACCTTCTTTTATAGACCTATAGTCTAAAATAAACAAATTAAGTGATTTCCCACGACACACAAACAATCACCTTTGACCTGAAGTTTTTGTAAATGCTGCAAAATTAAAATGGTCAACAGTCACACCCCTATGTGTGCTGTTGGTTTTGTCTTTTTGTGTGGTTGTGTGATGAGGATCTCCTTTGTGAGATTTCAACAGTTTTCTTATGGGCAGTTGTAAGACTGGAAATATTCATCTAAAAGAATCAGAAAAAGAGTATTTTTGTTTTCAGATATTTTAAAGTTTGCCATCAAGTGAACCCTCTTAACCTGAGGAAAATGGTCTTACTCACAAGCACAAAAGTGTTTTTGTTAATTGAAAGTAGATAGGTAAGATTCTAATTTGTTCCATGACAGATTATTTCTGACGTTTCATGTCACTTTCGTCAGTAACACTACCCAGGAAACAGAAGTGAGAACTTCCCTGTATGCCGCAAGGGCCAAAGGAGAAAGGCACTTCATAGTGAACTTATTGCCTCCACATCAAGACATAACGTGAGTACTACGATAACTAAAATGTTTTTTTCTTTGTAAAATTGTGAAATAATCTATGTTTATATGTGTATAGGTTTATAGGTTTATAAAGAAAGCCACTTTATATTTATATTTCAGGAAAAGTAACCAACATGGAGGCTGTGGATTACATTGAAACTGATGATTACACACCAGATAATGAAACTGAAATCAACTCCACCACACCTGGACTACTGAATTTCAGTACCTCTCCGTCATCTTCGACTAATGTTCTGGTGGCGGTCAATATAATTATATCTGTTATTGGCCTTGGAGGAAATTCATTAGTGATCTGGATCTGTGGATGGAAAATGAAAAGAACAGTCATCACCACCTGGTACATCAGTCTGGCCATTTCAGACTTTTTGTTCTGTGCCTTTTTACCCTTGGAAGTATTCTACATGATCACCTCACACTGGCCTTTCGGACAGATCTTGTGCAAGGTCACCTCCTCCGCCCTGTTTCTCAACATGTACTGCAGTGTGTTTCTGTTGGTTCTAATCAGCACCGACCGCTGTATCATGATCTCATTTCCTGTGTGGTCGCATAACCACCGGACGGTGCGGAAAGCATTTGTAATTGTTGTCCTTATGTGGCTCCTTTCTGCACTCTTAACGGTACCTTCACTGATCTTCAGAAAGATCACAGTCCATGGCTCAGTCACTCAGTGCTACACAGATTACATGGGCCATTCCACTCACAAGGCGGTGGTACTGACTCGATTCATTTGCGGGTTCCTGATTCCTTTCCTAATGATTGTGTTCTGCTCCTTGGTGCTCGGAGTGAAGCTGAGGAGTTTGACCATCAAGTCAACAAAGCCTTACAAAGTTATGGCGGCGCTCATCTTGTCATTTTTCCTCTGCTGGGTCCCCTATCATAGTTTTGTTCTTTTAGAGTTAGACTTGCAGAACCACAGCCTGGAAGTCCTCAAAACTGGCCTGAAGGTGGGAGCCACCCTGGCTGCAGCAAACAGCTTCATATCCCCAGTTCTCTATGTGTTCATTGGTAACGACTTCAAACAAACCCTAAAGCGGTCTTTGACATCACGGATAGAGGAGGCAATGGCGGAGGACTTTCGTACAGGTCTCAATCACTCAAGGTCTAAGTCAATGGAAATTATCTAATATCAAGTTGAAACCTTTGTCATTAGTGACAAGGAGTATTTCACAGTACAGAACATGATTCTGTAATAATTTAAACTACCGTATATGTCATGGCATGTTTAACCTTAATTATTGTGTCTTTCAACTTTCAAAAAATATATCTTTACACTCAGATATTTTGTATTTTTAGATTTCTATTTTATTTTACGTGTGTTAAAGAATTGCTTGTGTGTTTGTTCGCTGTTATGTTTGGAAACCAGCTTGCTACAAATTGCCCCTTGTGTGAAGTATTTTGAATTCAATATAATTTATCATTTACAATATATATTAATTTGGTGGCGCTGTGAACTAAAACATTAATGAAGAGAAACATTTATGCAGCAATTGAAACTAGGTGCTTTCTAATAAATGTTCTTAAAAAACAAATACCTTTATTCTTAATATTGTAATTTGAAATTGATATTTAAAATGTCTTATTGCTGTCAACGTACTTACACTGTTGTAACTTGTTGTAACTTTGGTTTTGCTGTTTGGTTCAGACTCATCCATCCTGCCTCAGCAGTTTTCTGCAAATAAGCGCTACAGTAGGTACTATTTTGTGAAATTATAATAAAACGTTTGTTCAAACAAAAGGCCCCTTCATTTTTCATTAATTTAAGGGTCATTGTAACTAAAATACCTGTGTATTACTGTATACCATGAAATACCATGTGATATTTTACCATGAAAATCAGAGTAGCTCATAACGCCAAATTGTCATCACAGTTTGGTTTTGGTTTTTGGTTCAAAGTCATCCATCCTGTTGCCAGCCGTAGCAGTTTTTTGCGAATAAGCTCTGACCGACTGTAGCTGCTCAGTACCAAACAGAAGACAGACTACGATAGCTGGAGTGCGAACACAGTAGAGGATTTAGCTCCTCAAATTACCAACTATTTTTCTCAGGAGTTGCTGGAACCCAGAGCCCTTTAAAGGGCTCTGCTTGAACCTAAACAGAGCTGAGTGAATACTGGAGCTGAGTGAATACTGGACTTACCACTCAAAACTAATAATGTAGCTCCTTGTCTGCTAGGTCTGGAAAATAGCTAACTGTTTCCTAAAGTCTTCGCCATTTTAACTTTATGTCAATTAAATGTTGTTATTGCAAAACGCATCAAAACATAGTGATGTTTGATTGGTGGAGTTTCTGTTGGTGGGCACCTGACAGGCCAGACTCAGGGAAACAAACTCCCTAATAAGCCGCGCCCCCTTCCTCCCCCAGGATCTACTACCGGTTAACGTTAGTGGTGCCGCCGCGGATGTGATGCAACCAGCAGAAAGGATATTTACTCAACTTCTCGTGACAAGTTTAGATTTTTCAGTAAGAAAATCACATTCTGTACCACGAAGTTTGTTAGTATAAGTATTTGTAGTTCGTTGCTTTGTGTGCGGTTAATCTGTCAAATATTTTGCTGTCCGTTTTCCACAGTTCTTCTTCTTCGCATGCTAATGTTAGCAACTCCGTAACGGCACATTTTATATATGGGAGCTAGCTAGCAGCCGGCGGATTTTACTCGATTTCATTGCTGTTTTAAGAGCTATTTGTGTCAAGCTCAGTCTCTCGTTTGCTCCTCTTTGTTAGCTACAAAGCCCCGTCCACTGGGCCTCCCTATGTACTTAATTTAAAGCGCTGGGTGCCAGCGGAGTCGCACCACCTCTACCTTCGTGTTGACTGGATCTATCTTTAAATGGCCACCGCTGCCCCCCCACCAACCTCTGGCTCTACTCCGGCGACTGAAAACCAGAGTGCCGGATCCAGCAGCTCCACTGCGACCGACGGTGGCAACCAGGACAGCACTTTCGAGTGTAACATATGTCTGGACACCGCCAAGGATGCAGTGATCAGCCTGTGTGGACACCTCTTCTGGTAAGAGCTAACTTACTCATGTTGTGACTGAGGTTTACAGGGAGGCAGTGTATCCCACTTCAGTCAAGGTAATGAGGAACAGGGCAGACCAGATCCAGACCAGTATAGTTAATCTTACACCGGTCTGTTGGCATACACCCTACAGGCCAATTTCAGTTTTGAAAGCCAACATTTGTAACGACCAATAACCATCATCAGTTACATTGCTGATATCTGCCCATTCCTGGATTAGCGTGTTATCTTTGCTCTAACATGTGTAAAATCATGTTCTATATTCAAACATCACCAGCTATGTATGTGAAGCAGATGTTTTGCTTGCATTGAGTCACATTTACAAAAATGCATAAAATATAAAATCAAACTGACAGTTGCCTCAAAAAACACAAGTTAGAATAAAATCTTTGTTATTACAGATTATTACAGGAATTTCATTATTTTGTCTTTACTTTTGAATTTAGAGATGAATCAATAGTGCCAGTTTAATGTTTACAAAGTGTAGGCCTCATTTTATTCAAGCCTGGAGCTGCTTGTGTAACACAGTATGTGTGTAAGGAAATACGTTTTGATGTTATCATCTTGGTCAGTTCCATAAAACTTTCCAGCCTCTGTAGCCAACTTCTAACCTTCACATGTAACTCTAGCCAACGTCTGTCTGTTCAGGATAGGTCAGGTCTTTAGCATATGGTCTGTTATCAGTGGTGATTGTGCCAATTTAGTTATTCATTTTCAAAGAGTTAACCCTAACCCAAAGCAGAGAGGCATTTGTCTTGTTTTTATTTGTGAACACAGGACATGTGGATGCCTTTTCTTTGGTAAATGTTGTATATTTAGTCAGGTTGTTCTAAGATGTATATAAAGTTATACTAATCCAAACCTCTTTCCTGTCCAACACTCATCTTCCTTTGCATCTCCTCTCGACCAGTTGGCCCTGCTTGCATCAGGTAAGCTGAACCTATCTTGCATGTGTGTGTGCATATTTTTATTTATTTTCAAAAGGGAGAGTTTTTACAGTTACATAAAAAAAACAGGTTTAAAGTTTTGTGAGGACATAATATTTTGTGAAATTTTTTTTTTTAAAGTTTGTTCAACCAGGAACCCTTATGCTTTAAGGGTGATTGTAACTGATAATAGGATAATTGTGTATTACTTTATACTGTGAAATTGTGATATTTTCTGAGACCATGCCGTGAAAATCTCATACCGTACCATACCTTAGTCCTTACTATCTCTTTGTCTTTATGCAGTGGTTGGAGACCAGACCTAACAGACAAGTGTGTCCAGTGTGTAAAGCTGGCATCAGCCGAGACAAAGTTATCCCCTTATATGGACGGGGAAGCACAGGTCAACAAGACCCCAGGTGGGTACTTTTGTGTAGTATTGTGTAGTCGGGCTTACTTTAAACTTTATGTATTACGTAATCACAATGCTCCTCAGGATTCTCCAGTGGTGAATATGTTCCACTCACAATTTGTAATGCAACATGTAATACCACTGGTTGAGAGTAATAACTTATGAAATTTTCTGAATGTATAAATGGTGTTAATAATAACTTTTATATAATGTGGTTTTGTTTTATAGAGAAAGAACGCCTCCTCGACCACAAGGGCAAAGGCCTGAGCCAGAAAACCGTGGTGTAAGTACTACACACATGCTATATATGCATGGTCATAACAAAGATCAATACTTTCTTGATTCCAAACATGTCAGGCAGCTTTATGCAGTTTTTCAGTGCATCGTCAGCTGTCTAGTCACATTATGCATTTATGATGAAACCATTACATAGGATGGTGTAGGTGCTGCAGTGCAAACCTGTGCTTTATCCATTAACAAAAGAACATTTCCCACTGGGATCTATTAGATGCTACGTGCAGAGGTGCAGAGGCGTCTCCAGAGAATGATCACAAATTGCTTTGACTGTTGCGTCACATCTCTCTGGATTGTGAATACATGGCTAGACATTAAGAGGATCCACATTTGTCTGTGTGTTAATGATGAAATGTGTGTTTCACAGGGCTTTCAAGGGTTTGGCTTTGGAGATGGGGGTTTCCAAATGTCCTTTGGAATCGGTGCCTTTCCATTTGGTATTTTTGCTACAGCTTTTAACATCAATGATGGAAGACCTCCTCCAGGTATTTACGTTTTAGACACTTCACCATGACCGCTCTGTCTTTGATTACAAACATTTCAAATAACCTGTTAAACAATTTCCCAAACAGCGGCTCCTGGGACACCGCAGCACATGGATGAACAGTTTCTGTCTCGACTCTTCCTGTTTGCCGCTCTGGTCATTATGTTTTGGCTGCTGATTGCATAAATCCATGGAAAGACATGTTGGGGTAACCCAAAAGATTTGACAGAGATGCGACATTATAGCACATCATCACAGTTTGCACCAATGTGACTCTACCTTTTTGTTTTTCTGTAATTTTGTTTTTCTGTAATTTTGTTTCTGTCGCCTTGACACAAAGCCATGCGAGTTTTGAATGAAGCAGGTTTTTCCAATTGAAAAGATCTGTAAAAACAAATTTCAAGGTGAACCAACTAACCTTGGTCACCTAATGTTTTAACACATTAACACAGTTACGTAGTGTGCTTGTAAACCAGCACACCAAAATGGTAACAGCTTCAAACTTCATGCTGCTTGATGCAACTCTTTGTTTTTTAATCAGACGCATACAGGAGGGTGTTCAGGTGAGAGAAACTGGAGAACATTCTCGGTGCTCATTCACTATGCATTTTAATTTAATTAGTTACCACCAGTGCCCTGTGCTCATTTACTGGGATTTTCACTCACACTACCAATCCCATGTGTTTTTATATGGTCATTTCAGCGTATAATTGGCCCGTTAGTCTACTTGATCCCTATAAACTATTAGGGTTGCTGTTATTGGAAATTAGTTTGAGGCAGTTGGCCCTACTCGTGACTGGTCAAAGCAAGAAAAGCACAGGTGTTACCAATAACATTAACAATGGATCTGTTCTATTAAAGTTTCCCAATAAGGCATGACAGTGAGCCAGCATGCATTTTATTATTTACACCTGTGCTTTTCCTGCTGGGACATGTCAACATTTCTTCCACGAAAAAGGCCTATTCGTACAGGCCTTGCTGAAAAAAATAGTACTGTCTCTCTGTTCACTCATGAACTAAGAATGCTGGGCTTTGTTTTTTTCGAGCTGTACCTGATGTTACAATTTATGCATCTCATCGGCAATATTTTCAACATCAGACGTCAAACATTGTCTCTTTATTTTAGATGACATTTAAAAAAATGTGTTGTGAGCAATTGATAGATTAATTTATGAAAACAGTGTTCCTCTCCATCGGTCTCTTTTTCCTCTCGGTTTTCTGTATGTCACTGTAATTAAATGTAAAATATTGTAATTACAGATTTAAAAATGATTGATCCGTTGAACATAAAACTACTTTTTTAAAATGTGAATTTCCTCTACTGACAGTAAAGCTGTGTAAATAAAGATGTTAATCAGTCTCTCTGTAGTCCTATAACGGTGTGAACCTGTTAGGGGTTCATTCTTAGCCTTACTCGTCTAATAAATACACAAATTACGACACACTAAACCAAAGCAGTGTGGAGAAAAAAAATAATCAACAACTTGCTCAATACTGAGGAAGTTTAGTTATTCTTCATTGTTAATTATTTTACATGAAAAAGGGACGTCAAACTCAAACCACTTTGTGCTGTAAAAAAACAAAGAAAAATAGATATTTTAGTCATTTTGTGGAAGAGATTTTTAGAAAACAAGTACAAAAAAAGTCAGTTTGGCCTAGTCCTGCGTTTCTGGCTCTGGCTGTTTCTCTTTAGATTCTGCCTGTGCAACGTTGAACTCCGCTTCATACATAATCTGCTGGATCTTTATTTTTGTCTCGCACCTTTTCTGCGGGGCAAGCCGCTTCAGAGCGGGGACAAAGCTCAGCAGAAATAGTTCGTCCTCATCCCGTGGCCTATTGGGAAATGAGGTGCCATTGTCTTTGACCAGCCATTTTGTAGGGGATGGTGTACTTTGAGAAGAAGGCAGTGAGTGTGACTCTTGCATCAGGCGCCGTTTCCGTCCAGTTTTGCTGACTGGGGTCATCTGTGGGCCTGGTGGCATCTTAGCCAGAACAGCCAGCTGGGCCATCTGTGCGTCTTGAGACACTGAAGGGAGCTGAGTCACAAACGCTACCTGGGGTTTGAGTTCAGGTTGACTCACCGGGACCTTCACGATGGGCTGCGGGGTCTTGACTGCCTCCAACGATGTGGTTTCTCCCTCCGCACTCCCAGATTCGTTGTCAGGATTGTCGTGGTCATCGCCGTTGTTGCCGCAGATGTCTGCCACTCCGCTTCTTGATCCAGTGAAGGGTGCAATAAAATTCATAAGTTGTCTGTATTTCCATCTACTTTGCACAATCTCTCCTTGCTTCTTGCTTTTGATCTCCATTCGGACTTCCTTCAAGTACCGGTCTCTCATGTTCTTCCATTTTCTTTTACACTCCTCAGCTAGAAAAGTAAAATATCAGAATGTAAGGAGCAAGAAATCATGAAAACTCTGCAACCTGGACATCCTCTTAAGCTGCATATTATAAGCAAAATTAACCTCAAAGCTTTTAAACTGTGTGGTTACAACAAACATATTTTCCCTAAATATCTGATACGTCTGCTTCACAGATGTTAGTCTAAAAGGCTCAGACACCTAAGTGGCTTGTGTGTGTGTTCTTCTGCCAGTACCTGACAAATACTGATTAGAAAATATACCCAAATATTATGTTGAAGTTGTAATTAAATTAAATAAGGATGGCCAGTAGCACTGGTCTTCAGAATTGACCTTTGGGTTCAAAAGCACTGCTGGGTTTCTGTTCTCCGGATACAGAATTGTCCGGGACACTGGCCAGATACTGCTCAGTGAGCAATTAAATCACTGCTGCTGGCAAACAGACTAAGTGAAGCTCTGTGCTAGAATATAATACAGACATAGCAGGGTGGACAAAATAACAGGCAACTTTTGCAAGAGCAAATTCAGTTCTTCTATGTGAAGTTAATGTGTTATTTTTTACACTGTCAGAGGTGTGTTGATTGTGGCTGCAACAAACGATTATTTTCATTATTGATCAAACTGCCAATTATTTTTTCCATTAATGGATTCCTTGTTTTGTCTATAAAATGTCAGAAATGAGTGAAAAATGTCAACAAAACAAAAAAAACATTTTGTATTTTGCCTTGAAAATGACTAGAATTAATAAAATTATAATACATATATATATACACATATATACAACTAATTATAATAATATATATACATATATACAACTAATTATAATAACTGCAGATTATTTTTCTGTTCACTGATTAATCGGCTAATTGTTTCAGCTAGTGGTGATTGTACTCTGTGGCATTTGACTTTAGACTGTGAACAATGTGGTGGCCACTAAAATCACAGTTAAATAAGCACTTCTTGGAAAGTTTTACCAAAATATAGAAAATATAGAGTTTGTGGCAGATTTGTTGTATTGGATTGCATTAAATATAAAAGGTGTACGTAATTTAGTGTGTAATGCATCAACGGTATGATATATTTCTAGTATATATTTGTTTTATTTATTTTGGTCTTGCTACGCCATTTCTGGAGGTCATTGTTACCTCATCCGTGTTATATGCCGCTCCAGCATTGACCATGACAGCGCACCTGATTATTTCAGGCTGGGGCCCTCTGTCCCCTGGCTCTGACACATTTCACCCAACACACCGTGGTGCCGCCGCCGACGCTTCCACGAGAAGCTTTCGGTTTATATGAACCTCGCGGTGTTAACAAGCAAGACGAAAAGCACGCGGCTCGGTAAATACAGTGTGTCCGTGACGCTGAGCATGTTTCCTCCTCCGCCGAGCCGTGCTGGGCACGCCGCTGGCGGCGCAGTGGCACAGCCGGACCGTGCCGTTCGATGCAGCGCGGCCTACGGCGTGCGAGCTGCGGCTGCTACCGCTAGCACGGTGCGCGCGGCTGCATGGACATCACTGGGCTGCACTCGCGCGGATAGAAAATACTGAAAAGATACAAATTCTTTTCAAGAGGAATCTGATATACTTCTGACTCCCTGGAGCTCCCAGTGTTTTTTAATTTTTGTCTGTTTAGTCGACCACACTGGCACGAGCTAAGCAAATAATAACTGGCAGTAAAGTTGTGATAAACAAAAAAAAAGTCACTCACATGGGAGACCCAGTACGATACTGATGCTTCTCCAGGCATTTGCACGACTTTCCGTGCAGCGGTAATTCGGCAAAGTGACATTGTACAGCTCTGGATAATTAAATACAGCTAATATTAACTTATCGTCCATTTTGCCCTAGTGCTGTGTCTGTGCTGCGCGGACGCGGAAGCGGCAGTCTTCTCCCGCCTTTTCCGCCCAGCTGCTGCCCCAACGCGAGTTATCGCGAGTGGCGGACTGCCTGCCGCGCTGTGTCGCTCTGTCGTTCAAGAGTGGGCATTGTAGTCTTTTGTCACAGGAGGGCGCACGACTTAAAATGTAATTCATATTCTGTTCTGGAGGCAGCAACATAACTCTGTGATTCGCCCTTTAATAACAGCACTTGTTGTGCAGCAGCCCATAAATGACATAGGTAGGCCTATACTTAAATAAAGTGTTCTTTTGATACTGTCATGATTCTGGTCTCCTAACTGTTTGTAAAAGTCAGAATTAGTGTGGTCATGCCTAGTGTAGAGGCACAAACATGCTATGCTTGAAAAATAGACAAAAAAGAAAGAGAATATTTCACAAGATTTTTTTTACACCTTTTGGGCGTTAAAACACTCCATATTTGGGCTTCTTAAGTGGTTAAAGGCATAATAAAGGCAAAATATTTCTGTTACACAAAACTGAAATAATTTTTTCTGACTTTTTGTTCAAAATGTATCTTGTTAAATATACCTGTTCCAGCCTGTACAAATCATTCAGTCAATCTGAGAGGGAAAAGGCACTTTTTGGTTCAACTAATCTCAAAGGTAACACTGACCCATCTGCTTGCATCTACAGGCCAACCTGTGGTGAGGGGTCACAAGTAGACATTGCAATGGTCTGTGTGAAATACAGTAAAACTCACTTTAAAATGGAAGTTTTATTAAAATGGACTTTAATACATTAAAAGTAGATTTAAACAAACTACAAAAGAGGATTAGACATTATATGGGACTTAATACACTTGGATTTCACCTTTGGGTATAAAAAAGTATTACATCTGCAAATATATTTGTATCTGTTGCGTGTACTGTTACATTTTGGCAGCATAAACATGCTTTTGGTCACTATGAGTTCAACATCACTTTAGTTCAGAAAGCATACAGGGCGACATTGAAGCATGATGATTGAAACACCAGATCAGCTGATTTTCAGATTCCAGGGGAAAGATGTTAGGGGAAAAAAGGAAATAGAAACATAATAATAATCACAGAGTGTTTTACTTAATTCCTCTCAAGTCTCCCGGGTATTAGTACCTGAGATGTGTTTTCTGAACCTTCAGCGGTTACTATGTTTCCCTGCACAAGCTCACACACAAGACTGGAGGAAACACAGTGAGGAAGGTTGATTCTCTGCATGTCACGCAGCTACAGTCGCCGATTCCCCAGAAGCTTTTGGGCCAGCAGCCAACAGAGACACTCAGCTTTTTCACACGTGAATAATCTACTGCCATGTGAGGTTCTCTGCTCATTTATCAGTATGCAATATGTCAGCATGTGGGTGTATTTAATCCTGTGTCTCCTGTCTGAATTGTGCCATTGATTTTGATTTGTGTCCTTTATTATTCATGTTTCATTTTTTACTCCCACTGACCTGCTGCTTGAGCAGCTGTTTGGTGTGTCTGAACACATATCCTAAAGGGCACATCAGTCAGTGATAGCTACTGAAATGAATATTGGCACCATCAGGACAATTACAATTCTGAATTATAACTGCGTAAAACTTTCCAGAAAATAATCACCAAAATGCATCATCACATCACGATAAAGCCGAGAAACAATTCCATTTTCTTTTTCAGCCTCGGCCTGAAGTTCTTTCAACTCACTATATATCTGATCTGATGTTTGTTTTTCTGGGGAGTGAGAGAGAGTTTGCTGCACAATATTGTCCATTTCCCTTTTATAGACACTTCAGCTTGTGTATTTGAAGGGTAGTAGTGGGCCTTCCAAAATCATATGCTGTTGAATTGAACATTTCTTATGTTGATAACGTTTCCATTCAATTGCAGAGGGCACTCCAAGCAGCTCCTGACAAATCTAGAAAAGCTATATCAGCCATGGGGCGGTGGTGGATTTACTTTACTTTACCTGTTGTACCAAATATTGCTCTTGCAACAACAAAATGAACCTTTATCATTCTAATCCCCAGTAATGAATTTTGAACAGTTTGAACCAATGTGGATGTGGTACAATTCCTTCTATTGAGAACCACAATAACTGCAGATAGCGATCACACATGCTCCGCATCAACAATCTGGGTGCTATTAAACCCAACTGAAAAGGATGGGATGGTGTTTATTGTTATCTGTTTTCAAAAGCCCTTATAAGAGGAGCTTAAGACAGATTGTGGAAATCCATTAATTCTCTAAAAAAAAAAGGTGTATTGCCTTGTATGAAATCACAGGATTTGTAGGGGGGGATGAATTTAACCTGTAATAGCTTTACCTCAGATGTGCACATTGTCAGAGAAGTGAGAGTGAAAGACTGCACCACACAGATAAGAGATGTGATTGTGACTACAAACCAGACTTTCTGAATTTACCTTTGCCATTTGTGTTTATCTGTATTGAGTAATACATACAAATCTATTAGTGTCACCACACACGTCACTGGCAAGATGAGTCATTCATTCATCTGCAAGAGCCTAATGACTCTGTGTAATTAGTATGCAGTGTTGTTGCCAGTGTCGCGTCAACTTGTCATTCACTGAATATCTACTCATTTGCACAAGATCATTTGTTGATAAAGCTAAATAGGAAAGTGACGTTATGAAATAAACGTAAGAGCTAATCCTCAAATTCGGCATACACAACCAAAAAAAAAAGAAGTTCATCTTTAAATCCAGGTTTCTAATACCAAGCAATCCCCTTTTCTCTAAAACCTCAACAATAAGGATCTTAGGAGCTCTCCACTTCTCATTTTATGCAGTGAAATCTGATTTCTTTTGGAGAAAGGAATGAGGCAAGATTAACTGAATCTGCTGTCCTCCCTAACCTCTTCACAAAACTGCCCAGATTAGCTAGGAATTAAGTTTCAACCGTTTTATGTGTCTGGTCCATAGGGGGGATTATAGTTTTACTTTTTTTTCTGTTACCCCCCCACCCCCCACAATTTCACTATAAGGGCCTGACACTCTGTTGTAGAGAGAGGAGAAGCAGAAACGCAGCTGAGCCTGAACTATCGAGTCTTTCGTGTCAGTATCCTCTGCTTGTGTTTTATTGGGATTTCTTTGGAGATGGATGGACTGATCAGGATGGAGAGACAAAAGTTTCCTTTCACTATTGAAAACATACTAAGCAAATATCCAAACAGTAATGAAGACAGATGGTCATGTGGAACAAGTGGGCTAAAAGAGAAGGCAGTGAGTCCTGTTGGAGGCCAGACGGCGACTGTTCATCATGCCTGTCTGTGCTGCTGCTACTGCTCCCACTGTGGAGACATATTCCAGGCTGATTTCATTCATGAAGGTAAGACCAAACCCACTCTCTTCACAAGAAGAGTCCCCTCTGTTGACACATAGTTCAAACTACTGACTTCAGTGATGCTCTGCTCCCTGACCTAAAATCAGATCTCCTCCCTGCAGCCTGTCAATACGGATGCCCAGCGCCGATACTCACAGACCCATGCAGGTTAGGCGATGCTCACAGAGATGAGCAAGCGCCCGGTCAGGCGCAGAGGCGAACCAGACGTCACCGCACTATTTTCACAGAGGAGCAGCTGGACGCACTGGAGGAGCTGTTCCTGCAGAACCAGTATCCAGATGTGAACACAAGGGAGAAACTAGCACAGCACACACACTTAAGAGAAGAAAGAGTGGAGGTAAGACTACTGTGTCACATTCAGCCTTTGTCCTACCTGATACGGAGTTAGATTTAGGTTCAAACTGCTCTTGTGTTGTGCCAGCTTTGGCAGATGGAGCTTGTCATCATGTGGAGAAACACTTGACCATTATTAAAGATGTGTGCAAGTTTAAATACTTAATTTGATATGATAGCACTGGTTTTAATTATATGCCTGTGTTGATAATGCTGTCCAGTGCTGTTTTACTTGTTTATTTAAATGTGAATACACAATGTGCACAATTAAGTACAGTATGTAATGAAACAATAAAATGACAGTTAAATAATACAATCTTTTTTTTTCTTCTGATAGGTTTGGTTTAAAAACAGAAGAGCAAAGTGGCGGCGTCAAAAAAGACTCTCATTTGGTGTGGGAAACACAGAAAACTAAATTTTGTACTGTATATATGGACCACAGCAGAAGAGAGCCATGCATTTGTTTGAGTGTGTGTCCACTTGAGTTACATAACTACAAGGATTCTTTTGCTGTTATTAAATATAATAGCAACAAAAACACAACAGACAAAAGCTTTCCCCACCACAAAATAGACAAACATTTTGTGTGTTTGCGACAGTTTTGTAGCCTATCTGAATCTGTTACTCTGTTCGCTTGAGTGCATGAAAGAAGGAATAGCCTAGGCTCATACTAATCTTGAATCGGTAAATGGATTGTTACAGTTTGCACTGTTTGTGAAAAAAGTGTCCTTGAGAGCAAATAAAGTTGTTTTGAGAGATTTCATTTTTATCCAAGCCATAACACATCCAAATTTAATTATCTATCTATCTATCTATCTATCTATCTGTCTATCTGTCTGTCTGTCATACCACTTTAAAAGCTGATATGAAGTGTACATGATAAGAATTTAAACATTTCAGTTTATTTAAACATCTGTGTGTAGGCTATTCAGTAACTTTCCACTTTCATCTCCAATTCAGTTTAAACCACTGATTGTCAATTTGGGGGACTCAGGAGATAATTAATGGGGTCACAACATAATTTCTAGGTTTGAATATAAATTGTGTATTTTATAAATGGGCAGATAAGAGGAATCAGTGAAACCTCTGCGTCGTGTTCTGAATACAGAATATGTTGTTATAAATGCAGCATGGTTACGTCAGTAGCTTACTGCATTCTCAAGTGAGTACATCGGACCTAAAACTCTTTCTACAATAGTATTACACTAAATAAAACAACTTTTTATTTTAAGGTTATAGTAAACGTAAACCCAGATGTGTTTAATTCGTCTTCCTTTCATACCTAGACTGATTAGCCTATTTTTATTTCTGATCTGGAAATTTCTTTGTTTTATACTGAAAATCCCCTGAGAGGCAGTAAACTTCCTGTGACGTAAAACTTCAGACCGTAAGTACGTCGTTGTTTGTACGCTGTCCTGAAGTTAGCTAACGATCACCAGTTAGCTAGCTGGTTAAATTTAGTGACGTTCGCACAGTTTTAAATGTTTACGGTTAGTTATATTCTGTCTGCTTTAAATACTTAAACTTACTCATACGTACAAAAGCCGCCTTCCGTTTCGATTCAGTCGGTGTTTGTCGCAGAAGGATCGTCGTTAGCCAAGGAGGCTGATAGCGTCCACAATGGAGGGCAGCGCCAGCGTGAGGAGATCACTGTCCGGGACTCTCGTCCCTGTGACGGTCACAACAATGGCTCTCCTACAACAACCTGAGGAGGATGACAAAGGAAAACTGAAGAGAAAGGTTCTCGATGAAGAGAAGTACATTGAGGTAACGTCAGCTATGAATACAATCAAGCAGTCATCAAACAACAGGAGTGCTGTGTTCGCTCTGTTAATGCTAGCCAAGAAAACAGTTTTAACAGGTTAATTATTTAGTGTCACATGTGTGACATGTGTTTTGATATTCGTGATTAAGTCATTTATGAGAACTCTTTACTGATCTTAAGACTGATAAACTGCAAGCCAAGTCAATATACCAGATTGAGTGAAAGTGAGACATTTGATTTCTATCATTTGTTGTTGTTGTTGTTTAATAACAAACGAAAATATAATTATATTCCCTTTATACAATGTACCAACATGTCTACTTCTAACAGACTTTAGAGAAGATCATCCAGAGGGACTTCTTCCCAGATGTCACTAAATTGCAAGCGCAGAAGGACTATCTTGAAGCAGAGGAAAGTGGTGATCTAGGGAGAATGAGAGAGATTTCCATCAGATATGGCTCGTCTTTGACTAAATCTACACCACGGTCTACTGCACCCTGTGAGTAACGCAAGGAGGGAAATTTAACACTGTATTTTCATGTTGTTATTATTATACCTTTTATTGAAGAAGGAAAGAATTTGAAATGATTTCACAAGCTATTGAAAATACACTGTGAGCGAAACCCATTGTTTTTACCAGACACACCTATTTTTTCCCCCTTCATCCTCTTTGTATGTAAGATGTGACACCGGCTAGCTTCGAGACGCCAGTGGGCCACCCAGGGTCTCCCTCCTCCACTCATGGCAGTAAAGGTTTAGATGGGGGTATGTATCTGAGTTTTTTAAAAAGACTAGTAACAGATAACACACTGTTCCGAGCTTATTTTGTGTGTTTATATGAACTCACAGATCTGTGTCCCAATTTAAAATCCTTTGTAACAGTAATACTCAAACGAGTGGACTTATGGCATATGGTTAACAGTAATTTAACCCAATTTCCATTGTTATTGTATTTCTAGAGAGCAGGGCTGATAACAATGAAGAGAAAGAGCTGCCCTGTCTGGATCGTTTCCTTGCTAAAAACACCAGCGAGGATAATGCATCATTTGAGCACATAATGGATCTGGCAGACGACAAGGAGAAACTGAAGCATTCCTGGTTATATGAGGCCGAGGCTGAATTCAAACAGGTATATATATGTACAGAGTTGAAAGCTTTAGTTCGATTCAAAGCAGATGAATGAAATGCTTGGATTATGTGCAGATCATAGAATTAGAAACCACAGAGTTGATGGTTATGAAGATTGCATGATTTCATTTGAAGTGACAGTTGATCACGGTCAGTCAGATGATTATTAAGATATTAAACACTTGACCATTGATATTTTTCAGCGCCACAAGGAGAACCTTGCATTACCATCAGTGGAGAAAGCTGCACTTGAATGTGTCAAAGCTGGACTTGAAACATGGGAGTACAAAGCGAAGAATGCCTTGATGTATTATCCAGAGGGTAAGACTAAACTTGGATTGAATTTTGTTCTTTCTTTTCTTACTGAAAAAAATCCCGTTTGAAGGCATGTAATTGGTCAAATGAAGCTGTGGGAGAGGAGGAAAAAAAGTGAATTTCACGTGTCACATTTTTCTTTTCTTTTTTTAAATCAGGTGTTAAAGACGATGATGCTTTATTTAAGAAGCCACGGGAGGTAATTCACAAGAACACGCGCTTTGCAGGAGACCCATTCAGCAAGGCTCTAAACAAAAGCCAGATTCAGCAGGCTGCAGCCCTCAATGCACAGGTACATTTTAGGAACATGGTATATGAAAAATAGAAATGAGGCATGAAGTAGGGTTGGACGGTGTCATTGGGTATGCGTGTGCGCGCCCACGGGGGGTAGAAGTCGTCTTATGTGCATCTGTTCTCGCACAGACTTCACTCGGTAAAAAAATTGGTAGACTATTAGCGTTACAAGTCACGGTGGATATTTTACGCACGGATCAGGTAAAGCAGTGAACACACAGAGTGCAGATGTTGGTTTCAGTTGTTTGTTAGGCTGTGTCATTACTAAGCCGACGTGCAGCTCACCTGCTGCCGTGATAACGGATCGCCTGTGGAAATATACGGAAAAAGATGAGTTCTCTGTATTTTAGGCGACTTTATAAAATATACTACTGATGGAGAAAATGGAGCAGACGGGGGGAGAGAGACAGACAGAGGCGGGGCAAGCCAGGGCGTTTACCTACGTGAGTGTGAGGGTGTCAGAGTGTGGGGAGAAGAGAATTCCGAGGCAGACTGTGCAAAGCATAATTTAAAAGCAATAATAAGAATGTTCATGGTCATAAAAACCTGCTTTCACAGGGTGGCATAATGTGAAAATTTGAGATTTTCTTTTGCTGGGGGGCAGGGGGATGCCGACTCAACATCGTGATGTCTGTCAGCCATCGCCGATGGATGATGGCATCGTCTATCAGCCCAACCCTAGTCTGAAGTTGCCTTTGGGTAGTTAACTGTCTCTGTTTGGCAGTTTTTAGTTCAGTTTGAAAGATGTAGCTGATGTATCATGTTGTCTGTCCAGTTCAAACAGGGTAAAGTTGGCCCCGATGGGAAAGAACTCATCCCTAATGAATCCCCAACAGTGAATGGATATGGTTTTGAAACAATGCCCTCCCCTGCACCTGGTAAGTGTGTCTTAAAATCCTCCTCAACATTGTAACGGTCCTGAGACAGATGCAACTAAATGCTGCCTTAAGTAGCTATTTCAACAACTCTCCCGAAATGTAATGGGGGAGTTCTGAAAGCTGTTTCTGTTCCCTCAGGTGTATCTGAGTCGCCTCTGATGACGTGGGGTGAGATTGAGAGCACCCCATTTCGTCTGGATGGATCAGACAGCCCATATATTGAGAGGAATCACGGACCATCATTTAAGGTACTGAACCTTCTGCGATAGCTGTAAGAATTTGTTAATCCTTAGTTTTGAATTATTTGTTAAATCGTAAAATGTTGTCATTTAATATATGTTTTTTGTAAAAGATTCCAGAACCAGGAAGACGAGAGAGGCTGGGCTTAAAGATGGCCAATGAAGCTGCCGCTAAAAACCGAGCAAAGAAACATGAGGCATTGCGAAAGGCCACAGAGAACCTTGCAAGGTAAAGATGTTTGGTGCTCTTTGATTTATATCTGCTTCTAAGTTTCTTACTGCATCTGTCAGCTTATTTTTAGGCTGCAAATTTTCTTTAATAATGTAGTTGTGAAGCAATTTCTAAACTATTTTTAAAGTAATTGACCACATCAACCTTGTGTGTTCCAGTCTTACGCCTAAAGGTCTGAGCCCAGCCCTCACCCCCGCCCTGCGGAGGCTCGTAAATCGGACATCTAGCAAGTACACAGACAAAGCACTAAGAGCAAGTTACACCCCATCGCCCTCACATACAGTCTGCAAGTCTCCCTTCGGTGGCCCAGCCACTCCCTCAGGAACGCCAACACCCAACAAAGCCAAGACGCCAAGCTCTCAGGACCTGACATCACTCACAGACAATCTGCTGCAACTTCCCAAGAGACGGAAAGCCTCAGACTTTTTCTAAGTAAGAGAAGATATTCTCTGCTTTAACTGTACATAACAGACTCATTATAATGTGGAAAAACTTGATTATAAACTCTCCAGACCCATTAAAGAGCACATTTTGCAATCGATAAAGACCGAAAAGTTTTTAAGGATATATTCGTTACATTTTTGCACAGCTAGGTTACATGTAGGTCCCTGTGAAATGCATCTTGGTGTCCAAATTGTATTCAATTACTTGTTTATCTTGTTGTATCAAACTTGGCCAAACAGCTACCTGGCTAAATTATATTAATTTAATTATAATCCAGTAGCTGTCCAGTAGAGTCCCACATACACATGAGATTTCAAAGCACAGCATCTGATAGCTGTCACCCAGCTGTCCATACATGCTACCATGACATCTCAGTGTTCGTCTCAGAATCATAGAAATGACTCAAAGTGACATGTTTTGTTACCATGTCATGCTTTTATGTTGGTGAAAAAGAACCCACTGGGCTCACTGTTTGTCAGTGTAAATGTTTCTTTTTGCCACTATATATCTTCTTAATTTAAAGCTGAAAAAGTTAAGCAGGCTCATAAAACTGTACAAACTTTTTCTTAATCTATAATAAAAATGTCAAATTTTTGACTCAAAATGGTCTACAAAAGAATATACCATGGATCACCAGATTACATTATTGTCAATAGTTCTGTTTTACTGGTCGAAGTACAATATTAACTTTATATCTCCCCTTTATTTTCTAGCAAGCTTCAAATGTAAATGTATAGTCATGCTGTTTTGTGTTTAAACTACAGCCACAAGTACTCTAACATGCCCTCAGTCGGTTGTGTTTTTTTGTTTTTTTTGGAACATTAGGGTGTACAGGGTCCCCTAAGGCAAGATTTAGTCAACGCACACGCAGGAGTCATGATTCATAGACGTAATTTTGACTGAGCTGTAGACATTATACCTAAACCTTTGGGGGTTTTTTTACATTTCAGTACAGTGAATGTTTAATATGTATATTTATGAAAATGTGTCACTTTTGATTTGGGTCCTGACACAAATGCAGTGAATAGATGGGTTTGCATTTATTGAAGTTGGTCTTTAAGCCGAAAAACTGCTGTTAAGACATAATACAGTACATACAGATGGGTGACAAGAGTCCACCACGAGGCTCCGTACTCCTTGCCACGTCTGTGGAATTCTATTGGACGGATGTACACCATTCCTCCACAAGATATTTCCTCATTTATATACTTTATTTAATCAAGTAATCTCAATGAGATCTAGTTATCTTTTGCAAGAGAGACCTAAGTGCAGTAGATGGAAAGAAAAACAAACAGCTAGACACAACAGAGGGTAATAAAGCATCAGAGATTATCTGACACAGCACTAAATTGATTTGACGATTAGTGTTGTCTAAACATGTTGGTCCAAATTCTAAAATAGATGTGAAACTGGGTTGAGCTCTGGTGACTGTAAAGGCCGTAGCATATTAACGTCCATTTGATGAGCCCTGGTGCACTGAAACATCTGTATTTGATATGTTTCTCCACTCTTTAATTCAGTGTTTTCCTTTAATTTGTCCCCAGTCTGTAACTCCCAATATGTTAACAAAAGTAAGCCATAACATTTCCTTAAACACATGGGCTCATCAGACAGAGGAAGGGCATAAGACAGCAAATCAAATTACATTCCTGGTAGAATTATAATAATGATGGCTCTTAAATAAAAAAGTTATCTAGGATCCCAAAAGAAAGTGTAAATCTCACGACTGCTTTGTTGAAATAACTTGGTTTTAGAATAAATCTGTTTAACTGGGGTGATGAATGCTATGGATTCACGTACATTTGTGACCTTGAGGAAAACTGTTTTCATTTCATAAGCTTTTTAATTAGCACAACAACACTCCATCAAAGTCGTCTGCTATGTGTGACAAGGACCGGAAAACACACAGTGCAGTGTGTCAGCAGCTCGCACGAAGCTGTGTGATAAACTGCGCCACTCATCCGTGTGTCGATGCCATCCGCTCAGGACAACCAGTGATAATATTTTGTCGGATTCATCACATTGTAATCTCAACGGGTACACACACGCACTCACATTGGTTCTCGTGTGTCACCCTGGGTGTAATCTGCTAGACTCCGCCCCGGCAGCTCCTCCAGTTGATAGCCTGTTCCATGTTTGGGATTGTTGTGATGGGAGGCCGCAGCCATCTTGGACCAGCGCCGCTTCACACCGAGCAGCAGCGCTGGAGGACAGACGACGTTAACGGCTGAGCCAGCGAGCTAACGTTAGCTGCAGGGACAGATTAACCACAATCTGGAGCGACTATGCTTCATATATGCTATTTTTCTTCGTTAGCTGCCGCTTTGAGTGCATAAAAATGAGCGTAAACTGTGTTAAGTGTTTACCGTTATAAACCCGGAGAGGGCGGCGGCAGTGCAGATCTTCGGGATATATTTTTAAAAACATTTCTGAATAGAGGAGTTACTATGAATGGAGGATAAATGTTGCCGAAGCTTGACAGCAGCAGTTTCGTCCTCTTCTCTCTTCTCTTCGTCCTCACGCTAACGGACCCACCACGGACAGGTAAATAAATTTAAATTGTTTTCCCCCCGTGGGCTCGGAAGTGGGAGAAACGGATTACAGCTGTGAGCAGAAAGCTGCGGGTCAGGCGGAAAGGCCTGCTGGGTAAACCACGGCCTCCGGTAGTTTCTAAACTGAGCTGCTGCTGGGCAGCGTGGAGAACCGCCTCGCTGTCGGTACTGTGGCAGTAGGCAAAGCTAAAAACCTATTCTGCAGCCACTAAATGACAACATGTAACGTCATCCAGCCCACATATCCACATTATTTCTCTAAAAAAAAAACGTTAACGATATTTGTTTGTTCCAAATAAAGACCTTTGCTTCTGTTTTATAATTTAGCTCGTTTTAACGCTTATATAAACAGCTGCATTGGGATTGAGAAATTATCAATATATTAAAATATTTGTGTTGACTCATATCATAAAAGGTGGATATCTTAACTCTTGTAAATAATAAAAGGTGTGTAAACAATTGAGCCAAGGTGTGTTTACCCTCAACCACATCACGGCATGGTTTGTGCCCGCTTAGCAGTGAAGCTGTAATTTGAAATGCATGTCAGAGATTCATGCTGCTGCATCACTAAAACTGCCTCCCATTGACTCATCCTTTAGCTACACAGTTAAACGTATCGGAGCAATAAAAAAGAAAAAAAAAACAGTAATGCGATTGTCATGGAATTGTCCTAAAGATGCTTTGGACCATCGTTATGTGACTTCTAAGTTGATAAAAGAGATGAGAATGAATATTTTTCTTTGGATCGCAGCATATCAATCCTTTTGTGTTTGTGTGCAACACAGACTGCAGACACAGTCCAAACCATACAAGCCCCCTAATAAGGAAATACATACTGTGCATGTTTGTTTAAAGTAATCTAACCACTTCCAGTACAGTGCTGCTACAATGAAGGTGTCTTCAGGTAGTCACGTTAGTCACAAAATGCCAGTATTTTATGAATCAGAGTGGACCGTGATTTTACATGATTTGTCTGGATTGAAAGCCTGTACTCGTGCTTTGAATGCAAGCACTTGCATGGATACCTTTTTGAAGCTGCAAGAAAAGAAATGCATCTTGTGATCCCGACTATCATGTGGCTTGGCGGTCGGGATTTGGAAAGTGTTATCAGGTCAAGTCATGGATAAGCACATTATTGTTTGGCTTAATCCAACAGAGTAACTCCCTGCCCAGATAACATGTTACACACAACACTGCATGGACCTTTTTATTGTTCATTTCTGTGGAGAGGTTCAGTTCGTGGGTGGTGCTGTCGCCTCACAGCAAAAAGGTTGTGGGTTCAAACCCCCGGCCTTTCTGTGTGGTTGTCTGTCTATGTATGGCCCTGCGATGGACTGGCGACCTTTCGCCCAATGTCAGCTGGGATAGGCTCCAGCCCCTCCCCCCGCGACCCTGTACACAGGATAAGCGGTTGACGATGGATGGTTTGGTTCGTGGACAGACATTAAGTTCATTTTAGGAGGTTCTTTGTGGTTCATTTGCACTACAGTTATAACTGTAGTCATTTTCAAATGACAATATTTATTCTAAAGGTAAAGAGTGAACACAGCACCTTTTTGTTTATGTGACTTATAACCGGCATAAACTAACCTGAAAAGGGAAGGTTAACTGTAGTTTGTATTTTTTTCACTTTGTGTGGACACTTTCTTTTGAAACCACTGCTAGTTGTTTGGGGGCCTTTGTGTCACGGTTCCTACAGACTTTTCAGAAAATGTCTGATTTTTATAATTGACGCCTGATTTTCACACTTGTTCCACAGCAGGTTTTCGCAAGCAAGATAATGGCCTTGTAAAGATTATTTCTAATGTTACTGTCACAGATCCAAATGGCTGTTTTGGTAAAAGCTTTGAGTTTTGTTCAACCAGGTCTGGATATTTGTCTGAGAACCAGGCAACATTAAAATGTCAACATTTTGCACCTCCATTCGAGGGAGAACGCCAAATATTCGAAGGGCTTTTAATTCAAAATATAATCTGAATCACTTCTAATGACCAAAGCAAGTTTCACATGAAAATAATGGCTCTCCAATCGGGTTTTGCATTACTCAAAAGTACCTGACAAATGTAAAAACGGAAATGGATATGATCAAATAGCCTACACATGACCAGGACAGTGCAGTGGCTCTGTGGTTAGAACATGTGCATGTCCTGTGGCTGCTGCAAGACTGAAATCTCAAACCGTTGGAAAAACGACCATCAGCTTGAGCAACCAGTCTGCTCAACTTTGTTTATTGTCTGTGGGGCAGAGTGAGCCGACAGGGATAGGCCGGCAGCTGGTTTATCACAGCATGTTGGGTACAAAAAAGTTTGCTGTAGTTTTGACACACTTAATCCGTGGTCGGTCAGATGTTTTTGTTAACCTGATGCCCCACTGACGAGACTACAGTTGCAGCAGATAGTTAACTAATACTTGCAATGATGCACTTTTGTTTTAAAAAAGACAATGGAAGCAAACATTTGAAAATGACTTGTGGAAATCACTCATTGTTGATAAGACAGGTTGATTGATATGATAGATGATGTCTCCAGTGTGATTGGTAAATCAATGGGTTGTCATAAAATAATCTTTGTGACCGGGTGCAGCCTGTAGTTTTCAACCCTGGACATTAACACATACATTATGATTGTCTTTCTAAGGGCACAAGGTCTATTGATTGCTGTTTCTTTTGCCAGTTTTTCAGCTTTATTCACCTGTCAGCAATTAGAAGTTACAAGAGCACAGATGCATAATTTCTTGCTGCAGGAGTCAGTGAGACAGCACTGACCTTCCGCAGACCTCTGGCTCATGAGCAAGACTTTTTCCACGGTCACACCTGAAATGTTTTGCAACATCCTGCTCACGCAGCTGTCCTATTGTTGAGCAATTGAAAGTGTACGTTGAGGAAAATGTCAGGGAAGGAGACAGACGGAGTCACAGGGCAGCAGGGTTTCAGTCAGGCTGACAAAACGTTTGAAAGCCAAGTATCTTGCACCTGATACCCCACCAGCCGCCTGCAAATAGACTATGGTTGGTTTCTGCCACAGGTCAGTAAAGTTCATACTTGTTATCCCTGGAACACATTAGATGCTTACATTTATTGAAATGAATTAATTCTTATGTAGTAAATAACCAGTTAACCTTTTCTCCTACTGGTAAACCTCAGCAGTACAGCTCTGTATTTTAGAGCAGATCTGTTTACCATTATTTTAATCAATTAAGTATTGACATTGTCATATTGTTACTGAACTAAACGCGTTGAACCTTTCAGTGCAACAGAGTAAAAACAAAAATATGTGATTAACTTCTTGGAAGCCAGTGACACGTAATAATTACCTACCCTAAAACGGCTTTCTTACATATAGGCTGAACCAAACAGCTCGAAAGAATTTGACCCGGAGTGCTTTCATCCACACTGTGAAGAGAAAATATATTGGTTTTAAAATGTGAGGTGGTATAAAAGGAAAAAGAAATGAAGGGACATATCCACTAAGCACTTTTAACAGAGTGCCTCGGCATTTATGTGAATCATCAATGGCTGGAGATGATGCAGCATGAGCACAAGGCCTGTTCGCTGTGCCGTTTATACTTCAGAGGGACAAAGTTGGGGCAGTCTCATAGTCTTTTATTGTATTGTCCTGGTGGTTATGTAAGAGATGCAAAGGCTCACTTTTCTCAGGGTAGCCAGCGTTCACTCATTTGTAGGCTTGACATTACAAAATTCAAAGCTTGCGAGAGAAATAGCCTTAATAAGAGATGATTTCATCCTGCTTGCCCGTGGCCTTCAAAAAGGGGAAACTCCCCATTATTCCCAACCCATCACGCAGATGCCTTACTGTGTGTACAGCAGTAGCCTTTGCTGCATGTCAAGCACGTCACGCCACCTTGCATTGTGAATATCCCGAACCATCAGTGGTCTTCTTCTAGTTTGCCCAGGGAAAGAAACATCAACCTAGTTATCAAATGTGTGCAGTGCAATTTCATAAATAAAATCCCAACAAACAGAGAGGAAAAGATGAGCTTTCATGCAGCCGATTCAGGTGCCCCATCACCAGGACGTTCAGATGATGACAAGGAAAGTGCACTTCAACATATAACATCTGATAACCTAAAGCAGTAGGCTGCTGGTATCTGAATAAATTCCACTCGTGCTCCTCTTGTGCAGCATTTATCAGAAAAGCACAGAGAGCGTGAATACTGATCTGTGCAGGCAGTGAGTCTTTATTCAAACCACCGGCATAAGGAACCACAAACCAGGCACCTATTTTCTAGTCCTGTGCACATGCAGATATAGCTTAAAAAATGTCCGCTACATTTGAAATAAACAGTCACCAGCTGTTTTTGGATTTGTCGGATTGCCTGGCAGCCACAGAAAATGCCCACAAAGCTAGTAAAAAAAAAAAAAAAGTGTTATTGTCTATAGGAGATTTGCAAGTGGAAACATTATGAGAGTGTAGATTAAATATGATGGAGATATTTACACATAATTGTAATATCTTTCCAGGCACTTGAGGATTGATTTATTACCTTTGAAAGCCATAAGCATTTTCTAACCTTGTCTTTTCACAACAGTTGTATAAATACTTTTTATTAATTAATTATTAACATCACAAACCCTCTCCAGTGTATTTGGGATACATGGTCTCTTAGTTTTCTGTCAATTTGACACACATTCAGGCTCGATGGGATCAGCGCTAATGCATTCAGGTCCAGGAGACTGAGACCGGTCTGTAATGTGTCTCAATCCACTTAGCATTAAGACAAGGCGACGTCTGCTGTGTCAGAGATGACCACCAGTTAAGGCGATCTGCATCAAAGTCAGATAGTTTGACTTCATTTCAACACAGACCTTATTTAAGCATTCTCATTAATCATAGTTAACAGCACAGACTCATTTAGCGTTGGCGTCCTTAAAGTAAGTTTAAACATACTGCAGTGAGGAAAAGGTTTAGGCCTTCAGCAAGCACCATGCATGAACTTTTTGCACAACAGGAAGCTCACAGCATAAATAGACTGGTCTATGTTGTATACAAGTAAAAACCGGATTACAACCAATACCTTTCTTTTAAATCATTTCATTAACCTTGTTTCACTCGGCTACATTTGGGCCATGCAATAAACAGGACGCAAAAAGAAATCAATACGACCAGATAAAGCAAGGTTTATGTTTTTCTTTTGAAGGTCTGAGTAATCGTCCAGTTGGTTTGTTTGTTGATGGTTGTAAATAATGGAGAAACATTTAATTACATCCACATTGAAAAAAATAGTGAATCTGCCCTTTTGTGGGAAATCTGAATGTTTCAGTGCCTTTCCAAGTCACTTTTTTTTTTGTTTGTTTTTTTTTGTTTGTTTTTTTTGAGGCTTATTTGTGCTGCTGTCAGAACTCGAGTTGAACAAAGACCGGTTTTAATCACTCCTTTTAAAGCCCAGTGTGTGTTGTGGCCTCGCTCCGTGGGAAGCTTAAAGTGTAGTTTGTGTGGGTTCATGTCACCTGGTGGTGTTTGGTACACAGATGCAACAATAGTCACTTGAAATAGCTCAGAGCTTTTAAAAATAGTGTTGCCATATTTGTCGGGTGAGTGGGTGGTCCTGCTCCACTGTAGGTGCACCACCTGTATCCAAGAACAGATGGTGTGATGTACCCTCTACTGGGCAAGCAACTGGGGAAATCACTGAGCACTGACAAATGCCAGAGAATTCTTGACTTCATAAATAATAATTTCCTTATAGACAACATAATGAGCAGCACAAACAGCATGGATGTTGTCTTTTTTTCAACTTTTTTCTTTTAAAAATGACTCTAGCACAAGTGCAGTTTAAGAAATCCTGAAAGATAGCACGCTGACATACAGGATAGTCACTCTATTGTGTTTATTTGTTTCAGGTCCACGGCTAGCTCTGGCAAGATTATTGTCAGGTAAGCAAGCAGTATGTCTTTTAGTGTAGTGGCTGTCTGATCATTTTGTTAGAATTTATCAGCAGCTCCTTCAGTTCAAAGCATTACTGACCTTAAATATTTTCAGATAGTAATAAGAAACCTCATGCAAAAAAACATTGAAAGCCTGAACACATGTGATTGTGTCACAATCTTACCATATTTACATTTACAATCTGCATTTATTCTAAAAAAATAATTATTTTCTAGGTATCTAATATAGTTTATATTTTAACCTCTTAAAAACAAGAGCTTGGCGATCGTTTGAACTTTCTCCCGAGCATCAAGAACATTGTTGGGTTCTGTTAGCGTCTTCTAATCATGTGGCATGGAGATGCACTTAGCACAGACTGTGTTGCTGAAGGACGTTAGACGTTAATATGTGTCAGTATTTCACTGTAGAGTCCAGTATCTTCTGTTTATGTCATCGGTGCAGTGGTAGCGCCGGTCTTACTTACTTACTGACAGTGATTTTTCTCAGTTTGCACCCAGTCGCTATCAGGAAGCAACATTTAAAAATCTGTTTGTGTGCCCAAATGTTCACCCTCTCACCATCTTAAGAACTCTTATTTTTTCAGATGCCGTTGAAAGCACACGTGGCCTCATTCAGTGCTCCGCTGAACTCGGACTTAAAATGTTTTCCTCTTGTGCGGAGAAGTGCGCCGTCACGTGCAGCTTTGACCACACAAACTCTCTTGTTGTATTTCAGAGCAGCGCTGCAGCCCTGGGCAGTTTGCCTGCCGCAGTGGGAAGATGCAGTGTATCCCAATGTCCTGGCAGTGTGACGGCTGGACAGCATGTGAGGACAAGAGTGACGAGATGGACTGTCCCCGTAAGTTTAATTCACTTAAGCCCTTTCGCACCCAGTCTGTTACCTAACACCCATAACATGATTGATTTCTGGAAAGAATAGCAATGCCCAGGACCTTTTCACACTTGATCGGGTCACAGCTGGACAGCTCTACACACACAGGTGTGAACGCACTCAGAACACTTTAAGGACGCACTGGGACCTGATCACACAATATTCAGATGTTCAGTAACATGAGCGGCCTGTAAATGCATCCCTGACTGAACTGAAGGACGACCCAGTCATATTTTTATTGTGTGTGGCACAATAAAACCCTCACACATATCTCAATTCAGCTGATTTGCTTTAATAAAACGGCTCAGACGTGGTTTGAGTCTGCAGGTCTGAAAAGGTCCCACTAATCCACCACAGTGAATCAAAATAAAGGACTAGCAGCTCTGGACTGACAGCGTCAGATGGCAGAGTTAAATTCTGAGTGGCTGCACATGTGTCTGTGTTTTTGTTTAGCGTTTCTTGATCTCTTCAACACTGCGTAGGATGTTGCAGTGCTAATCCTTTGAGCGAAATCCTATTGTTTTCCCCTCTTAAATCCAGAGAGACCTTATCCCCAGATCTCTGACCGCACAATAGAAATTACTGAAAGGATTGAGTACAGCATGTGACCTCCATACAGCAGTGGTTGTGCATCATGCCTTTGAGTTAACACCGCAGGCCTGCCAACAACACTGTATAGTGATTGAGGTTTTACACTGGACTCTGTTCATTCCTTGGTAAAACCACATTTAGAGAACAGGCGAAGGCTGGACTTTTAAAAGATCACCAACAGCGCCGCATGCTGAAGCAGAAAGCCAGTCTTTGCTTACTCACCAATAAAAGGTACTTACCTCAAATCCCTACACCGTATATTCTACATGTTCATGTTGTGTTTTTACACGTTGTTCCGTATGCGCAGAGTAGCTGTGGTTTCACAGAGAAATGCAAGAGGGAAAAAAAAACAAACAATGCTCACACACATGCCCCAGTGAGGGCTTATTGTCAGCTAAATCAACAGCACGCATGGAAATCAATGTTCTTGTTTGGGATTAGCTCTTTGGTGAATAATGTGGCAAGGTGGAACAATCCCTCACACACTTAACTCCAGCCAGACAAATACCAGGGGGAAACTGTTCAGCCATATAATGTCAATGCAGGTTAAAGAGGAAACACAAACACAGACTGTACAAAAGTAAGCCAGGTTGCAAACAAAAAAACAATTTCATTAAAGCTAAAGATGGAGATGTACAATAGAACTAACTACAATAACTGTAAAGAAATTATTAGCTTTTAGTTGGGTTTTTTTTTTCTCTAAATGTCATGTTTTCAGTTCAATTTATGTCTTACTTTGGGGAGCTGAGTTGCTCTTCCTCTGTAATTCAAAGCAGATGAAACTCCTGCTACAGAAAACAGTGCTGCTGTTTTCATAACCTGTAATTCCTGTAATTTTTGCTCATTCTGACAACGGTTATAATTTGCTGAATCAAGGGAACACTGAGATTATTTGAGTTTATCAGCCTACAGTGTTGCATGAAAAATCACCTTTAAATGTCAGCTATTTTTCAACATGTGAGTAATCTGCCTGCTTCTGTTTTTTTTTAATCATTCCACTGATAAAATGTTTCCCCTTTTCTTCTTCCTGTTCATTTGTTTATAGGTGAAGTTTGCGTTTTGGCACTGTTGACATGATATCAAAGATTTGAAATCGGATTACACCGTTTATACAGAAATTAGTATTGTTGTTTCTAGTGCAACTCCTTCCTCAACACACATTCTTGTATAAAAACCAAGGACTAGTTACGATATTTGGGCAGAATATTCACAGGAGATTCATCCTGATGTCAATCAGATCTCAATCCCCTTAAAAAACTGTATGTAGCCCAGTCTGGGATTTTAGATTGTAATTACTATAGACTCCCCATGTCATGATACACACAAGCACAGTTACAATCTGCACAGTCTGAATGTCAATAAAGTGACCTTCTGTGGTTCTGCTTGTATCTTCCTCAAATCTGTATCCGCTTCCTGGATCTTCTTGGTGGTTAAGACACAAACTTTACGTTTCGAAATGTTGCAAGCAGCACTGACAGTTCATGTGTTTTATCTATCAAATGAAAAAAGACTCGTTATATCACAGGCTTTTAACAGGTTGCACAACATAAACCACATTGGTTTATGTTGTGCAACCTTGCCTGGGGGGAAAAAAAAAAGTTCTATAGAAATCTTTTTAATAAACACAAATACAGGTTGGGTAAAAAACGTGTCCATGTTTATTTGTTTTCGCAGCTATTAAGGAGGAGAGGTTTCGTTTTGGCAATGGATATGACCAGGTAGAAGACGTCATTGGTGTGGCTCAGCCTGTGCGCTTCAACAGTAAGCATTTCCCGTCGCTCTCCACCCGTTTTGATTTTAGTTGATTATATTGTTGCTGATTCTGCATTAGAACCCAGCTTTCAGCAAGCACAGTGCTTAAAGTTTTATTACCCATCCACAGAGAAATGCCCCAGTGGGTGGCACCACTACGAGAAGACGGCCAGCTGTTACAAAGTGTATCTGAGGAACGAGAATTACTGGCAGGCTGTGGATACTTGTCAGAAAGTCAACGGCTCATTGGCTACGTTTGTCACCAACGAGGAGCTGCAGTTCATACTGAAGATCGAGGTGGATTTTGATGACAAAGTCTGTGAGCGCAGAGACCAGTGCAAGTGAGTATTTTGTTTGATAAATCAGTCGAAGCCTTTTTATTGAGAACTTCTTGATAGAGCTTCACTTCATGGTTATTAATCATATTTTTGTGATGTTTCTTCATATTTACCACTTAACATAGTCTGATTACAGACCACAAACACTACTAAGACTTTTCAGATGCTTCTACCCCTGTGTGCAGCTCTGTCCAACCTCTAAACTCTTTCTTTGCCTTTTTATTTGGCCTTTATGCAGAAAACGGCTGCATGCCATGCTTTCATTCATTTACAGTAAAGAGAGCTCACTACAAACTCCATTCAGTCTTTAGAGATCAAAATCTTTAAAGTGCAAATGTCCTTTTCTAATTATTAAACTTGTGCTTTGCCATTTTTGTGTTTTCATGAAATAAGATATACAGTCAAAGGATCAGCATGTTCCTGCAGAAGTGGGGGAGAGAGTGTGCTCTAGTCATTGGTTGCACGCCATCTAGTGGCCAACAGTCGCAGTGCTTATTAATAATGGTTTATGCATAAATGCTGACATAGTAAATTTAAATATTGTAGTAATTTACTTGTTTTGTTTGTCTTTAAGGTTTTGGGTGGGCTACCAGTATGTGATCACCAATCAGAACCACTCCCTCGAGGGCCGCTGGGAGGTAGCATATAAGGGTACCTGGCTTTACTCTTAAAAAGAATAAAGATAAATAATACTGGAAAGCTCACTACTGTTCTGTAACTTGACTGTAATGCTTAAAAAATGTTTCTTTTTCTTCCCTCTCAACAGGATCAATGCAGGTGTTTCTGCCACCTGAGGGTCTGACCAATTTTGGGGAGGCATCTCCCACCCAGGACAACGTCTTCTGTGCCCAGCTGCAGCGCTTTCAGATCAAAAGCATGAATGAACGAGGCCTGCACAGCTGGCACGCGGAGAACTGCTACAAGAAGTTCCCCTTCCTCTGCAAGAGAAGTATGTGCTCATTTAATCCTTTCCATCAGTCATGCAATGTTTTATTTTGGACTGTGTCTTGATCTTATATTTTCCCTGACAGGGCAAACGTGCGTGGATATAAAAGACAATGTTGTAAACGAGGGCTACTACTTCACCCCTAAGGGGGACGACCCGTGTCTGAGCTGCACGTGTCATGACGGTGAGCCTGAGATGTGTGTAGCTGCGCTGTGTGAGCGTCCGCAGGGCTGCCAGCACTTCCGCAAGGATCCCAAAGAGTGCTGCAAGTTCACCTGCCTCGACCCAGGTACTGCCTCCATTTTGCTGATTACAGCTATTTCTCACTTTAGCAGAGTATTTTCCCCCTGCGAATACTCAAGGACATTCAGCCACCAGTTTGTGGTAGCTGGTGCATAGAAACTGTTGACATGAAGTCATTTCCGTGTAACAGTCCCACAAGGTGGTGCTTCTCCAAATCTACAGCATTGAATACAGCATATTGTATCATGAACTCACATAAGAGGTGTCTGTGTGATTTTGGACAAACTGTCTAATCTTCATACATGAACACTCAGGAGCATGACACCCCCAGATCATTTTATACCAGTGGGCTTGCAGCAGGTGATGTCAGTCTTTCGTCTTTCCCTCAGATGGAAACAGTCTGTTTGACTCGATGGCCAGCGGGATGAGACTGATCGTCAGCTGCATCTCGTCCTTTCTCATCCTCTCTCTGCTGCTCTTCATGGTGCACAGACTCCGTCAGCGGAGACGTGAACGCATTGAAACTCTGATTGGAGGAAACTGTGAGCATTAAGCCTGCTGGAGACTCTAAATGATGATCATTTGGTTATGTAATGAGACTTTTCAGTTAAATTAACTGCAGTGCATGAGTTTTTATTTTCTAATCATTTTAAAGCAGTGCAATACACAAGAAGAATTAATTAAATTCCCCAACCTGCCTTAATTGGTTACAAACAAGTGTTCTTTTATAACGGTCATTATTTATTTGAGCAACCATTCAGGCTCCTCGTAACTCAATATCAAGGAAAACATAAATACATGTAGACATACATGCATGTGTGTGTGTGGAGAGACAGACAGAGAGACAGATATTTAAATCCATATAGATACATCCAGTCACGTAAAACCCTCTCCTTTTTCTTGCCAATTAAGTTTGTGCTGTTTCTTTGGTTTTGTGGTGTTATGTAAGCGCTGTTTAGCAGTATTTTTCCATCATCCCCTCTTGTTTTCTTTATTTGCTCAGTGCATCACTTTAACCTTGGAAGACGAGTACCAGGCTTTGACTACGGCCCGGATGTCTTTGGCACCGGCCTCACTCCCCTGCATCTGTCTGATGATGGAGAGGGAGGCGCTTTCCATTTCCAGGAGCCTCCTCCACCGTACGCAGCCTACAAATACCCCGACATCCAACACCCTGATGACCCCCCTCCTCCGTATGAGGCCTCCATCAACCCAGACAGCCTCCTCTATGTGGACCTTGGTAGGCGCTGATCCTGTTATCCAGGTGTCTCATCAGAGTGTTAAGCTCTCATCTTCATTTCCTCTCTTTGTTGTTACCTGCAGGACACCGAGGGGTTTCCATGGTGCCGAGCCAGATGAACGCCATGGGAGACAGGCTCCAGGCTGATATTCCCAACGCCTCTGGTCCAACGCCAGGCTCTGCGCCGTCCTCTCAGGAGAGGGAGGACTCCATAGATAGCAGCACCCTCCTGGTGGGGCCCGACACTCCGACAGATGGCCCCGCCTCCGCCTCCATGCCCACAGACTGTATCTCCACCCTCAGCACCGTAGTATAGGACTGTGGATGGACGGCAGGGAGCTGTATCCGGACATTACCTGCTGGTGGAGGAAGGTCATGAGTGCGTTCTGTGCAGGGAGACGACGCAGCTTGTCGTTTATCAAAATGCTGACTGCAGGCAGGAAAGGTTTACAGGCATATCAGAAGCAGCCTGTGTCTTTGAGGTGTTACAGCGATGCGAGGATGCCCTCTTTCGGAAGACTCTTCTGCAGTTGGCCTTAGTGTTGTTGTTTTTTTAAGACACTGGCATCTGAGGGAGCAGAGACAGGACTGTGTCGGTACAGAGAAGAAGAAAAAACACTACATTTGAGCAAACATCTCAGAGTTGGCCTGATTGATCGAGAAGCCCTGATGTAAATACCCTCTCAGGTCTGTGCCGGTCAAATTTGTTATACTTGTGTGTCCCAGTCCGACACAAGGTGAAGAATGACCAATGGGCAGTGAAGCCAGCTATAGATCCTTGTGCGTTTTTGTTTGCATCATACTGTCGTTCAAACGGACGTATCTCAATTGAGCTGTCAGGCTTAACGATAAAGTTCTCATCAGCACCGTCTGTCACGACATGTCCCAGATCTCGATTTCTACTCGCTCATAAAAATCTACTGTCCCCTCACTTTATTAGTCTGAAACATGAAGCTGTCTTCCAGGTTTATAGCGCAAATTTGCAGCAAAAGATCTTTTGTAATAAAGAGGTTTAACCTTGCAAGAAGGTACGGTTAGTTTCCTGCTATAGGGTTTTTATTAGGTCATGCTGACAAGGCATTATGTATCAAGGAATGTTGTGGGTACTGATAAATATCTGAGTTTGGTATTGTGTTCTTTTTGATGATAATTTGAGTGCAGGCTGTAATCTTTATTGTTATATTGTGGGATACACACAGTCTGAACTCCCCGCTGAAGCTTTTCAAGTGCATGTGTGAAGATTAGGGATGATGTCCCTTCATTGAATTTGAGACAAGTCAGTTTATCTAAAATAACTGTTCCAATCATGAAGTCATTTAATAATGCAGAAGGTCCCATTGTTGTTACTTTTATCATCAACTCTTTGCAGGATAGTCGTGTTTTTGCTAATTGAACTATGTTTAGTGACTCAAAGCTCAACGTTCTTGCACGCTCATCTCTCGATTAAATCAAGTTTTGTTTTTACGTTTATTTTTTTAAGTTGTCACATTTTGAATGCTGACCCCACCCCCACCCCCGTTCCCGATTTGTTTTGTATGTGCGATTCTTCACGCGATACACCAGTTATCTCAGTTAGTGGTTGAAGATGAGGTCACTGACTGTAGCTGCAAGTCGTTTTCTGTTTGGTGTTGATGGGTCTGTTACTCGCATTTAAAAAGACGAAGAAGAAAAGTATAAACTTGTTAGACCCTTGTTATGATGACAATCGTTTGATTTTCTCAAGGATGAATTTTTGCAGAGCCTGAAGAAGTTAGATCGGTCGACCCACAGCCACCAGCATTCAAACCACTTTTGATCTGACTCAAGAAAACCAGCTGTAAATGTGTGTCTGAATGTATAAAACATCTTTATTTTGTGCTGAAGCTTATTTTCCCCATTTATAATTTTATTTTTTGGCATAGACAATCCACAGTGGATTATCCAACAAACAAAATGTCATGGAGGGGAAAAAAAGTACTGTGTGCATGTGTGTGTGTGTGTGTGTGTCTAGGAGATGGTTAATTTTATTTTTTCCCCCCATCAAGTTTGTTTGGTTTTATTTTTCAACCTGCTTTTTAGTGCATGTTTTTTTTGTTTGTTTTTTTTCTTTTGGCATGCTGAGAGATTATTCTTTTGATATAAACATTTTTAGCGCAACAGTCGGTCCTGTACAGTAGGCTCGCATATAATTTCACATCTCCGTATGAATCAAAAAACCTGCCCATGAACCCAACAGCTGCATTTACACTGTAGTTTCTGTGCTAGACTATGGTGGCGTGATAACTAATTTTACTGGATTTGAAATGTTTTATGTATAATACAAAAAATTCTTCATTTCATGTCTTTTATTTCATAGCCTTTACATTTAAAAAAAGAAGCTTAATTTGCAGGGGGGCGGAGGCTTGTGTTTTTTTGAGGTAGATGTACATCTAATCAAATGCCAAATAAATTGCACCATGATGGAAGACTCATGCGTCAGTGGGTTTGAACACAGCATCATGCTGAACCTTATGTTGAACCTCATCAATCACGACATTTAGCTGCTCTGTGAGTCCTTTGACTCGTCAAGGAAATCCCTCCGCCTGCTGTGACTAAATGTCACAGAAGAGGATTAAGGTGGGATGCAGGGAAATCCCCCAACAGTGAGATGGAGGTAGTCGGATAAATCCAATCCACCGCAACCAAAAGATTCAAATAATTTAAAGAAAGTGGATATAGTGCACCTCACAGTGACTCATATGGCAGTGGGCAGAGCAGAGACAGCGATACCCTTCTGGAAAGTATTGTCGCTGAAGAAAAGCGGCTTTGTTCGCACGGGCCGAGTAGTGACAGAATCACATGATCTATTCCTGGATGGGAGAGACGTAACACTTAACGCTGAGCTGCTCAGTTGAGATGATGATTGAATTTATGAGACTGTGAAACTTATTACACTTGTGTCTAAAAATAAAGGAGCTAGAGTTTTTTAGATCACAATTTCAGAAAATTACTTAATTAATTATTATTATTATTAATTATTTTATGAAAAGACAATTCATAATACCCCCTTTTTACTCGAAGGACTATATATTTAGATTATTTTCTGATTAAAAAAATAAACTCCACAGATGCATTATTTTTATGTTTGAAAGAAATGGTGTCCTTCAGTGCTTTAATATTACTGTGGTGGACAATAATGGAGTTAAAAGGAAACCTTTTTAAATGTCTTGTTTTACTACTGAGGGAGTTAAATGGTCATTTTTTTTTAATGCCTCTTACATGAAGCCATATATATTCTGTTCCCTTCTAATTCAGCATGCTACACTTTCCCATGAGATGAATGGGTCTTGTTACTGGTCACTGTGCATCTATGCTGACGGGGGGGGGCTGCCCTGCATCAATGAGCCTGTTGATCAGAAAAGACCACTAGACTGGTAATGACACGGTTCACTGATTAGACCAGGAGAAAATAAAACTCAGCTTTTTCCTCCGCGCCTATTTAAGTAGGACGTTCGCGCTGATCTCCCTCTACCTCAGATACTGACACCTGTCTGGATCCATCGGACTGCTACGATCCTACGATGATTTGGACTGCTGCTCTCCTGGTGATTGTTGTTTCGAACAACGTTAATTCTGGTGAGGGTCCTGCTTGAGTCTCAGATGACAAAAGCTACATTTTATTTACGTAATTTTGATTGAGAGTTTTGCTTGTCAACATTTTTGCAATTTTATATTCCAGAGGACTACTGTTATAATGAGCAACACTGTGGTAAGTAACCTATGAACTACTTTCTAATCTTAAAACACGGAGAGTAAAGTTCAAGAATATGATCTCTTATTAAAATGTGAAATTAGTAACATGTTCCCTTTTTTTTGTGAATATTTCACCAGCCAATGGGCGATATTAATCAGCTGAAATAGACTATGATTTTATACAATTAAACTTCTGATACTTATTCATTTTTAAACTATTTTTGGTTGATGATCACTAAAATGAAGCAGTGTCTTCTTGCAATCTTCAATCAAGTATTTCACAAGGAAAGAAAGAAAATATTTGAAAAAAAGGAGCAAAATTTGAGTAGCATTTTTTCTTTCTTTCTTTGACAGAGCTATTTCACCACAAGGTCCACTTAGCTGTTCTGGAGATTTTGATGGCATCATGCAGTCTTACTCAGCAGATATTTTGAGTGGGTTGGCGCACTCTTCACTTTGGAAATAGTACTTACCAAAACAAGAAAGAAAAACAGACTAGTATTTGAACATTTGAACAGCTACTATACAATTTGACGACAGCTTGGCGTGTAAAGATGACATGATCGAAAGCTCTGGAACAGCTACTAAATGGGCCTTGTCAATAAATGACTTAGTCAACTTACAGACCTGTTTCCAAGGTCAGGAAATTAAGATTCAGTATTTATCTTCTTTGCCATCACAATAATAATTTTGAGGTTTCATCTTGCGACCCCATGGAGAGGTCCTGACCTCCAGGTTGAGAACCACACGTCTTCTGTTCTGCCTTCAATGGTGTATTCGGTTCTTATGTGGTTCCTTCGCCATCCCCAGATCCTTATGCATGGGGAGACATGTTCCCGGCTTGTCACCCCTTACTTGAAGAGCATCACTCCCCTATAAATCTGGACCACCAGATGACCAGAAACGAGTCTCTGGGATCTTTACATCTGGAGGGCTTCGACGCGATCCAAACAGGACACTGGACTCTTAAAAACGACGGACACTCTGGTGACTATACGGGCAGATACTATCCTGAACATGGTATGGTATTGTCTCTTGTGTGCATTTGTGTTGGTGATTACATGTTTGTGTTTGCTCCCAGTCATGCTCCAGGTTGGCAGTGGCATGTCGGTGAGCGGTGGAGGTCTCCCAGATGTGTACCACACCATCCAGCTGCACTTCCACTGGGGAGGCCTGGCCACCAACGGCTCGGAGCACACGGTAGATAGACGCAGATACCCGATGGAGGTACAGTATGGTCAGTAGACAGCTCTACACTGTCACCAACCAACTGTTGCAGCAGGCTGGTGCAGCGCTGCCTTCCCTTTAACATGCTGTTTTGTTTATTTCTAGATGCACATAGTCAACATGAAGTCCATCCATCCAAATTTGACAGCAGCCTTGGATGATCCAACAGGACTTGCTGTCCTTGGATTCTTCATTGACGTCAGTTTACATAAATGTGTCAACAGATTCAAGCATTTGGGGTTATGTTCACACAAATGCATCCTGATTTTGTCCTTTCTTACAGGTTGTTTACGCAGACAATGTGCACTTTGGACTCGTATCACAAAAGCTGTCCTCTGTTGCTTACAAAGGTTAGAGGACACTAAAAGAAAATGAATTCCTGCCTGCTGTTTGTGTTGGTTTTAACTCTGTACTATTACGGCTGTGCATCCTTTCCCAAGGCCAAACTACTAAAGTCAAGCCATTTCCGCTGATGAGCCTTCTACCGAAGCACAACATGAGTCAGTATTACCGTTATTATGGCAGCCTCACCACCCCTCCATGTTCTCAAGTGGTTGTATGGACTTTGTATGAAGTCCCCATCTACATATCGTGGTCCCAAGTATGTCTCATAAGTAATTTTGCTGACCAAAAAAAACAAACAACATATAAATGCTGTGAATAAACTTGACTTTCATATTTTCTCCTCAGCTGGCTCAGTTTACCTCACAGATCTTCTCCACAGAGGAGGATGCAGAGCAGGTGACACCTCTGCAGAACAACTTCAGACACATCCACCCCACCTTCAGTCGCCTCGTCTCTGCGTCCAAAGATGCCAAACTCCTCACAGGGAAGGCCAGTCGTCCCCTCAGGTCAGCGGTGTCAGTGCATCTGCTTCAAATCATTTTGCTGGGAAGCTTCATCTGTGGACTTTAGCACTGTGTTATGTCCAAATCAAGAAACGCCAAACAAAGATGAAGTTGTGTTTTTGCCACTCAGTCTACCCCAAAATGACTTTTAAATGCAGAGTTTTACATATTTAAAAAAAAAAAACTGTGAAGAAGAGTACTGTAAAATGTTGAATTGTTACTAAATATTTCATGACTGTGCCCTGTTGTCTCTGCGGGATTTAACTCCATTAGTGCATTTTAAAAATGTGATAAAACAGACTTGTTACTAACAGTTAAAAAATATGTGAATGTGAGCAATGATAGCATTGAAATGTGTTTTGCAGTGACAGCCATGTGTGCATTTATGTCTCCAGGCCTCTTGCACTCATAACTTGTTCTCAAAAAGGTACAATCCTAACATAAATGGTCTTTTCATTTTTTTGGGTCAGAGGTTGTTTGTAACTACACAAATACTAAAAGTAAAAAGTGATGATGAGACAAAAGATACATTTACCCTGAACGCTAACTAGATGCTAGTCAGCATGCTAACAATGATAATGCTAGCATGCTGATAGAACATCAGCATGCTAGCATTATCAGGTGTAATGTTTACCATGTTCACCACCTTAGTTTAGAGTGTTAGCATGCTAACATTTGCTAATTTATACAAAGTACAGCTAGGCCGGTGAGAATGTTATTAGTTTTGCAGGTATTTGGTCATAAAACAAAGTAAAAAATGTTGACCTTATGATGGCTAGTTGAGAAGTGCTGAAAAAGGAAAATAAAAAGTATTAATCATGAAGATCTGTTTTAGTGGAACTGGCTGTTCATATCAAGTATTTTCATAATACAGATCTTGGAGTTTTACCAACAGTGTGTGGTGGCACCTTGTATTGTCTTGTAAACAGGAATTTCAATTGAAGAGGAATTATATAGTAAGTTATCTTTACAACATCATCTTCAGACAAGCCCACACAAGGCATGAGCTGCATGGATGTACTGCATCAAGTTATTCCCATAAAAAACTTTCCCCCTGACTTCTGTCATATCAAGAAAACCACAGGTGTAGTTAATAATATTAACAGTGACATGGCTCACTGATGCACTTAAATGGAACAGAGCCATCGTTAATGTGTAAGTAACACCAGTGCTTTTTCTACTATGACAAGTCAAAATGCCTGCTGTGAAAAAGGCCTATAGCAGAACTCAATAACAAAGGGCCTAACGTAAAGTGGAGGTAATAGTCTGCTAATGAGCAGCCTCTCCTGCGCCAACATGCAAAATATTCTGTGTGCATCATTTGCATATTACCATCATTAATATAAACCAGCAGCGTGTTGAGAAGCACTTCAGTATGCAGAATAGGCTAACCTGCAAAAACACACATGCAAGAAAAGAGTATCACATGGGATTGACACTTGAATGTCAGTTTACAATTTTAGGATTCTCATAATTTTTCCTATATTCAAACAATAAACATGTCCTATTCTGTCACATTTGCTGTTGTTTTTTCTGAATAGTGAGCAGCATGTGCTTTTTTCCCCTCTGCTCTATTTCCTGTGTTGCAATGCCTATTATGCAAAAAAAAATAAAAGAGTTCTAAATCTGTGTCAAAGGTGTGTCAGCGTGAATTGTTATAACACAACGCAGCAGGCACACATTAATCTTAAGATTAACTGGTTACGCTTAAATGTGTCTCTTAAACGGCAAAAGTGCCATGAAAATAAAAAAAAACATGACATTGAAAGTGTCTCTGTGGTTACCAAAGGAGTTGGACACAAAACAGGAAGAACTCAGTTGGAGTGATAACGTAAGGCCAATCAGATCACTTGGTGTGGAGGTGTGTGTGCCTTGGTTTGTTATCCTTCACCGCTTGCTCTCCCATCCTCCTCCTGTCATGGCCTCGAGGCGGCACACACAGTAAGCCTCCTCTCTGTACTGTGTGTATGCCAGCTTTAGCTGTGGTGACACCAGGCTGCAGATTTTCACTGAAACCAAATGCTACAGCAGCGGAACTCACTGATTAACAAGAACACATCACCAGAGGAAGAGATGAGAGGAAATCAGCAGTGCTGTAGACTTTAAACTTGACTTGCTACCTTTGGAAAAGCATAACATGGGTCCTATAACAGGCAGGTATTATAACAACATCTAGTATTAGTTTAAAGGATTTAGTGTCAGCCAAAAAAAGGCCCTGTTAACTCAACTGATCGTCATTCAGAGACTTGAAATGCCTTTTCTTTTTGCCTTTTTGTTTCACTGAGATGCTTCTTAGACCTATTCCCACCTGGAAGGTGCTGTTTGAACATCTTTTCTGGGTTCTAGTGATCGAACCAACGTCCACTCACAATCCTGCTTCCCCAACCTTGGAGCCACCACTTCCACCTAATTGCATTTTTAATGTACAAGTTTTGCCAATCAACACTTTTGATCTAACTTGGCCTTGCCTCAACGATCTGAGACCTCAGACTTGTTTTGAAAAGCTTGAGGATTGACTTGGATTTAAAACTCTAAAACTGAGTAGAGTATGCTTGGGAGGAAAGCTTGTTCACCTCACATGGTTTCTCATTCCAGGATCAAATCACACATGGAGAATCGACATTAAGGGTTAACACGACACATTCTCTAAAGTGGAAACAATCTCTTTTTTTACATTTTGTCTAAACTTTACTGGCAAAGCTTTCATTTGTTATTGGTGCTGTGAGAGTGTGAATCACGACCGGGTCCTTGATCAACCCAGCCTGACAGGGAGTCATTGTTTTGTCAGCTGCTGCCTACTGTTTCCATTCATGAAAACTCTGCATCAGTAGGACCAGTTGGGTGCATTTCAGATGATCACCCATCAATGAATAAATCCACTTATAGCGAGTTTTCTTCACTTTATTTCCCACATTGTGCCTCATGAAGAACAACCACTGTTTATGGATGTATGCAAAATTGCTTTATTTCCATTTTTTCCTTTTTCATACATTTGCTGTGTAATAAATAGACATGAGAAACAGGCTGATGCTTCAATCCTCTTCCCATGCCAATTCTGCACCTTTGTTTTTTTTTCTCCACACCGCAAACAACTTTTCATAGAATTTACAACAGAAAAAAAAACAAACAAAAAAAAAAAACAAAGCTTGACACAAGCCGAATTTCCTGCTACCAGCTCACCGCTTGCCTCATATGTTACATTAACCTCTGAGCTGTGTTTGAGTAGCAAATCGCAGGGAACAAAAAAATATATATATTTATATAGTTATTCACAGTTACAGTATTTACACATTTCAGGATTACAAAGCAAATGGGCAGAAAATGAAGACGTTTCTACAAGAAACAATCTTTCGAAAGGGAGGTGGAGACTTTTCCTGTACACAGTGGACCTTTTTCTTTTAAATAAACAACCTTTTAAACCCTCAGATTCCTTTTACAGATCCCTGAAAATATTTTTAAATACTCAGTCTTTTGTTTTAAAAAAAAAGAGAGGGAGATGCATCTTAAAAGTGTTACCCCTGTGAAGATAAAAAAAGCTTTAGATCTGCTGTACAAGTAATCATATACAATATAAACATCACTGGTGGAAAAAAGAAAAAAAAAGAAATACCAATCCAACCAAATGAAAAGCAATGACAGACTGTCGGGCTAAGAGATGGCGCAAAAGCAGAAGTGCAAGCCTCGAGTGCATTCAAATATTTTTTTATCCGAATGACTACATAAGGAAAGACCGACCCACGCGGACTACGGCTGAAGTCTGCCGGGGTCGCAGAAACACTTCTGTCTCGCGCGAAACGTTGAACACTGGTAAAGTGTTGCAGCTGAGAGGAATCTATGAGCACACAAACATGACGGTCACCCCCAGGCACAGAACAAGGAAGCCGAAACATCAACATTAAAAATACAGGCAGCAATTGCATGTGAACACAGCTCCTGGTGACAGCTCCCTAAAAATCCCCATTGCCTGCTCAGGTGAAACAAAGACAGTTACACATTCATATGGCACTTAAAACGAGAAAGAAGCATTTTCAAACGCTGCCCAGTGGATGTAGACAGGAACTGATTACATTTTCTTGCTCTGCATGATTGGTTGGCCTTCTGCGCTGCGGCCTACAGGGGGCAGTGCGCACAAACACACACAAACATATGATTACAAATCCTCTCAATGAGAAGCCTGACGCACACATTCACACACACACACAAATATAGTGTCTTTGAAGAAACAAGCAAGAAGAGATCTACCTAGACAAAACTGGAAAACTATGGAATATCATTAATACAAATTTCTGCACGCCATCTTTAAATCTTTGCATAAACTAATAGGAAGCAGCTTGATCTGTTATTGGCTGGTGAAAGCAGGGGTGATATCCAAATATTCCAGATTTTGTGGCAGGATGTAACGATTTCTGTTGCTTGTTTTTTTTTTGTTTTTATTATTATTATTCTTCTATCAGTTTGATTAATTTCCAAGAAAACTGGTGCAGAGGAGGTAGGAGCGAGAAAGCAGGGTTGCAGTCCGTGGCGGGCCGTGACACTCCGCCGCCTGCTGCCGGGTGGAAAAGAGCGCCGTCTGCCATCTGCTTGGGTGCTGACCACGTCTTTCACCACAGAGAGGTGTTTTCCTGGTGGGCTTGTGCGTCTCGACAGTGTTAGTAAGCAGCTGAACATGTGAGTCTGTGTTGTTTTTGTTTTCTTTGTACCATGTGTGGTGTACATAAAGCTTATAAGACGAATGAGAGGGGGGAGAAAGTGTAAAACTGTACAAACCGTGACTGGATGTGGAAGGAGCCATGCTGAAATACTGTCTGACGTTGGGGGTGGGGGTTGGTTGCTGCCTCAGCAAGTCAAGTGTTTAGTAAATTCTGGGTCACTGGCAGACATATAAAACTATGAGTTTTTCATTTCAAGAGCACCATAAATCGTAAACAATCTAGAGTTAAATATGTGAAGAGTGCCGCGCTGGAAGCTGAACCCTATCCAGACGACTTGCAGGTTTCTTCTCCCAAACAAAACCTTCCCTCTTTCTTCCTCCTCGTCCGGGGTCTCGACATGTGCATGTCTGGGAAACTCGACAGCGCTTTCACACCCTGGAGAGGACTGACCTCAAATGGACGTTAATTCAGCGTTCCCCTACAGTTCTCCGCCCCGCACAAACACGGGATCTTCTCGTCCTCGATGGGGAACTTGTAGTCGTAAGTGATCTCCTCGTTGACGTTAATGGGCTGTCTGGAGTAGATCACAATCTTCTTTTGAGACTCCACTGTGATGACCTTCGCATAACAGTTAGGCTGAAGGAAAGGGAAAGAACAGGTATATTTAGAATATGGTTGCTTTTAAGCTCATGTTTCGGTTTCATATATGTGGTGCTGAAGCTTTTACAAATAGGAGAACCACGTGGCTGTCGCCTTACATTGCAGCTGTGGTTGATGAAACGGGCGAAGTTGCCACACTTCGTAGCATCTATGATGGTGTCGTGGTCAACACGGAACATGTAGCTGCTACCGATGCCCTCCTCCTCGTAGCGCTTCTCCCGCATGTCCGCAATCACCTGCCAGTGGAAGATGGTCGCTTGTTAGAAGGTTCACAGCTCTGAAAGCTTTTTTCTGACATAGAAATCCACCGGGTCTCAACTTTAATCAGTGGTGCTGAATTGTGCATCTTGCCATCAGGCAACACATCAATAGCTCCGGTCCTCTAAAGCAAAATGAGCTACCTCGCTTGGTTGCAACACTTTGTGCTGTTATGGCACTCCAAGCAACATGTGGGCATCAAGGTTTGGTTGTGTCCCATTTTCAGAGGCTGTATAGAGCTTGCTATATAGTTGCCCTGTGTTATTTATTGGTTATGATGCTTTAGTTTTACTATTCACATTCTGACTACTACTAAAGTTACTTTGACTTTAGGTTTTGTTGTTGCACTTTGCACTATTTCTGGCTGTTGTTTGCAACAGAAATGCAACCCTGAAGTCTAGGTATATACAGTATAATCCCTCATAAATATTTAATGGAATTACTCACATCAAATATTTCTAAATAATCTAAGAACTAGGGATGCACCGATTGTACGTCCACCGAAATTAAATCGGCCGAAAATGGCAAAAAAAGTGCACTTTCTAATAAATAGCCTAATAAGTCAAAAGACTTTTTTACCGAACAATTACGCTGACATGTCGGCAGTGTGGAAGCATTTTATAGTGTCCCAGAAAGATCGCTGTTTGCAGACACTGTTCTGCTGAATTATCTCCTAGCACATCCACTCCATCTGTGGCTGGCTTCTTAGAAAAGGCAACAAACTGTCTGACCCACTTTGAGTGTTTCTGTCACTCGTTTGTGAGAAGGCGATTAAGCTAGCCGCACCTAAATTTGGAGTCCACAGGTATTCAAGCCTTTATGATAACTGAAACGGACAAGAGCGAGCTGACAGGCAGGTTAGCAACTTTATCCTGGTTCACGGTTTTCAAAAGAAGGTCTCTATACAGTATGGAAATAAGATTAATTGGATTATATTCACAGAAAGTAGAAAACATATATTACATGTGTCCATTAAAAGTAAATGGACACATGTAATTTACTTTGCCAGACCCTCTCATGTCTCAGAGACTATGGGGGTGGGCCCCATAGTCTCTCCAAATCCTGTGGGAAACACTGAGTAAAAAGCACATTTAAAAAAACACAACACTTGAATGTATTTGTTCAGTATTCAGCAAATCTTTTCAGTATATGCGGTTTTGGCTTGGCCAAGAATTGTCATTTCGGTGCATCCCTACTGATAACCCTGGTTATTAGTAACATACATATATTTATTTTTGGAAAATAAGGAACACTGAGAGTCAGGTACATTGGCTGATTTGTAAAAGTGTCTGTAACTGTTTACACACCTGCAGAAAACCAGCTTCAAAACGAACCAATCACAGCCTCTCACCTGTCTGATGTTCTGTCCCACGTACTCGATCACCATTTCATCAGCAGCAATGGGCTCCATCGCAAACAGACCCCAGTCGTGGATGAGCGACTTGCAGAATCGGATCTTTTTCTTACGGAACTGAAAGAGAGAAAGTGTCACTTCTACGCATCAGGAAAGCTAATATTCAGTGGACTTTTTGAGATGGCAAAAGTTGCAATGACAAAAGTCTGTTTGTCTTCTGTTCTTGTTTACTGTTCTTTTTTTATAAAATCCAGGGTGAATCAAACTGCCCCCCCGCCCCTCCTGGAGCAAAGTTCTATTTGACTGTGTTTACCTTCAGCTGGTTGAACTTCAGCAGGTCACTGTCACATGCGAACGAGGACAGCAAACGTCGCTGCTCCGAGCGCCGCTCTGAGCCAGCCCTGGTAGAGGCGTGGACCTGTGCAGGAATGCTCATACCCTGGTGGAGAAGATGGAGTCAGAGGTGTTTTCCCACAGCAGGTTTACATATATTTTTAAGCATCACAGTCTGTTCTCAGCAGCCTACCTGTGTGTCAAACGGCGGCTCCTCTGACTGCAACTTCGTGCTCTGAAGATACTTGATCTTATCCTTCTTGTCGATTTTGTAGTATCCCTCGCTCCGCGCACAGCCGGTCATGTGATCCCTCATGCCATCGTCTCTTCTCTTTTTCTTCACTCCAGGGATGTTGGTAGGTGCAGGGAAGTCAAGGAAACTGAAAGGGGCTTGAACCACCGCTGGGATGCAACAACACTACTGAAGCTCCACAGATACTCAGTACCAGCCAAAAAGTTCCTCATTTTCGCCACCAGAGGGGGCTGCGTTTTGATACACAGTGCAAAACAACTATTAAAAAATTCACGTATGTACCTTTCTAACTGGACTGATCTTTGCGGTGTGTGGAGCACAAATACACAAAAAGATTAATATATTTAATAACATTTAGTGTAAATCAGCTGACATCAAACAGTAAAGGATATAAGGATGGTTGACCCAGAGCGTGTCGTTGAGCCAGTCGTTACCGTTATCCTGTTGGAGCATCTTGTCGTAGGTGATCTGCAGAAGCCGCATGTCCTCCTCATCTATGCCTTCGTTCCAGATGTCGTACAGGATGGTCATCTCCTCAAAGTCGGTGCGTGGGGTGAAGTACGACCGGGGAGGCGAGGTGACGGGGGACAGGCTGCCCAGCAGCAGCTCCTCCCAGCCTCGCCGTGCCCTCCGTGTAGTTTTCACGGCCACAGGTGCCTCTTCTTCGTAGGACAGGAAGCAGTCTTCAGCAGGCAGGACCGCCTGAGGCTCAACCTCTCCTTCCCGGAAGTCCAGGCTCGGGTGGATGGGGGACTTGGCAGATATCGTTTGCGAGCATAGATCGCTGACGTGCGGGTCGTGCGGCAGTGGGGTGGACCCCGATGAGAGCTCCAGAGACTCATCAGCTGCAGAGACAGCTGGGATCTTTTTGCCTTTGGGTCGTCCAGGTTTCCTCTTTGACGGGGCAGTATCTGATGGCACAGGGACGTCTACAGTGAGACCAGCGGGCAGATCTTCAGGGACACTGGCTGAATGCTCTGTTACAGCAGACAGGGCCTGGTTAGGCAGGGCACTAATGGGCGGCTCCTTAAAAACTGGTCTATCGTCTAGGCTCTCAGAGGATATTTTCCTATTAAGAGTCAGTGCTGTGGGGTCAGGGAAGACAGGGGTGAAGGTTAAGTCTCTTCCTGGAGTGCGGGGGACTCCAGCACTAAGGACAGGGGACTGTGCAGGGTAGGAAAAGGGGCTACCAGGAATGTGAGGGGAGCTGAGCAACAGGCTGCTGCCCGTCAGCGGGCCTTCACTGCCGGGTGTGTTGGGCACTGTGTCCGTGCTCTGGGACTTGCCCAGACTTCGGGCACGCTCCATCAGGTCCCTGCCTGGCGTGCGGGGGATATCCTCATCTGTGGGGAGCCTGGCCCGCTGAGGGAGGTCAGGCAGAGGACCAGGGGGTGGATGAAGGAGGGAACGGCCTTCTAATGCCGGGTGAGGAGGGAGAGGGAGGTGCATTAAAGATGCGGAGACAGATTTGGGAACAGGTGTGTTTGCATCTAAATGGGATGGGGCTAATCGACCGGGGGTGCAGGCTACTTCCTCGGGCTCTGCTTTACCTTTGGCTGTTGTCTCCTGGTCGCTGTCGGGCAGGGTGCCTGTGGGAGTAGGTGGTCGAAGGTTCGCTACATGCTCCTGAGGTTCAGACTTCACCACAGGAATGCTGCCGTCTACACTGATGTTGCGCTCTGTGACTACAAGACAAGAAAGTATTCTTCTTATTTAACTTCTGACAAATATACTTCCAAATGATAAATACCTGTTCGACCTGAATAATAATAATTTAGGAGCAAACACTCACCTGGGATGCCTTTTGGTGATGGTGGCTTCAGGTCCTCCATTACCTCCTCCTCGGGACTAGGAGGTCTGAGTTTTGGCTTGCTGCTTAGCCCCTCCCTGCTCCTCTGGTCCTCCTTATCCTCTGGGACTGGTCCTGCAGGAGGACTTGGTGCCTTGGTCTCTAACTCCACCTCCTCTTCATCAGAAGATGAAGACGTAGAGGACGAGGAGGATGAGGAGGTCTTGGTCTCTTTGCCTTCGTGCTCCATGTCTTGTTCCGGTACCTCCTCTTCTTCCTCCTCATCCTCTTCCGAGCTCAACTCGTACTCAGACGAGCTTTCTCCTGAGGAGTCTGAGCTGGCCTTGGAGGACGCTGTACTCTCTCGTTCTGCAACAAATGAGGCAAATAAATGATAGAACACAGGAAACAGACAAAAAACAACCAACTCTTGCCGTCTGATATTTAAAGTACCGTCATCAGATGAATCTGAGGAAGTGCTCTCACTGGACGAGTCTCCCTCGTCTTCATCATCACCGTCCTCATCACCGCTCTCCTAAGAGAGGATCACAAATTGTAAAGATGTACACAAAACACACAAATATTCAAAGCACACCATGTGAAGGATAATCCAACAGATTCACGATGAATTGTAATTTCTGAGAGCTTACTTTGCCTAACAACAGCCTATCGGAAGCCTCAGTTTCATCAGGCTCCTCCCTGTCGGACAACGACTCCTCCTCCTTCCCCGAGGTGTCCACCTCCTCCTCTCCCTCACTGTCCAGTTCAAGTGGCCGCGAGTGCCGCCGCTTTGATGACATGCTGTCAGCATCCATTTTGGAATCATCCAAGGGGAGCTCAGCTGGGTCTCGATCCCGGTCTGAAAGAAATGAACCACAAGATAAATTAGCTATTTGCAATTTCATAACACCAGGAAGAAAAAGTGAATTGTGAATGTGTAGACCAAAGAGTATTTGGTCTGTTGTATTGATAGTAGAGGGTTACCTTCATCCTCCAGCTCGTCATCCACTGGAGTGGAGGGTCGGGCCCGTTTATTGTCCCCTGCTGCTGCAGCCTCAGGCTTCCTTTTCACCTGAACACAACACACAACCATTAAAACACCAACAGGCAGTGCAACTGGTCAAGAGAAAAAAAGAGAGACATTTCCAGGCTTACCTTGAAGGAGGGTAAGCGGATGGCTCCTCGCAAACCGATTCCCAGGCCCATCCCCTCATAGCCCAATCCATCGCCCTTGTTCCAGTTCTCCAGCAGACTCGAACCCATGGTCTCTTTGGGTTTGGGTCTTTCTTCTTCCTTCGCCTCCGCACCCTTCACTGGAGTCAAAGACGCCTGTGTGAAAAACAGAACATGATTTTTAATGCTAGGTAGTTATTGTATTAAACCCTGTTATTTTACTGTATTAAACTGCAGACCAAACTCATGTTTAATACTCTGCTGTCACTTGTTATGGGGAATCAATATATTGTATGTGATTATTTCTCTCAAATTATACTTCTTGGCTTTGTATGTTTTAAATAAGTTTCTATATTCACAAGTTTGTGAGTAAGCCTGAAAAGTCTATTTTTGTCTATAAGTCTGATCAACAGTCCAAAACCCAAAAGTGTTCAATTTAATAAAGCAACAAATCCCCCAAATTGAGAATGTTGAACCAGTGAATATTTGGCATTTTACCTTGATAAATTAATGTAATTTATTGATCATCAAAATTTCAATTTCAGCCCAATTTGCATCACAGCCACAATTAATCAGCAGATTTTTTTAATGGAACTTTTCAAAATGATATTTACTAATAATGCCAGACTCTGCGAATGTGGGTTGGACAGAGAGATACATCAATTAAAACTACATCGAAGTTGTGTTAATTAGTCTTTTTTTAATACCTGCAAAAAGCAAATTGATGACTTGATGTTTATTGTGAGCATTTTTTTTTTTTAACAGGAGGCACACTTAGAAGTCAGAACAAGTATATTTTCCCATTACATATACTGTGCATGCGTAACTCTATAACACTGTATTTGTCTCTTGGACAGTGAAATTACTAACTTACTAACCTTTGCTGAGCGCTCCTTCTTATCCCACCAGTCATCAAAGGCTCTAAAAGCCACCACCTCCACCATTTTGCGGTTGAGGTCCCTCTTCATGATGGCCTTCAGCTCTTTGACAATGACCAGCAGCACACCGTCAACAGTGGCCTTGTGAGGATCCTCCTTTTTACTCTCATATCCAGGCGGAGGAACAGTAGGGTTGAACTTTGGTATACTGGGAAGCTGCCATTGTTGTCCGGGTGCTGCCGCGCCGCTAGCAGGTGTAGCACCCATAGACAGAGGCGGGTACGGTCCCCCAAAAGGCCCAGATGCACCACTGTCCATAAAATGTGGATAAGGATAGGGCCCTCTAGTCTGAGCCATGCGACTCAGCATCTGCTGCTGCATCTGGAAGGACATGGGAACGGTGCTCCACTGCTCCCACCGCAAGCAGTTCATCAGCTCCATTTGCACAAGTGGCATCATGCTATGAGGGTAAGGACTCATGTGCTGCAGCATATGGGGAGGCACTCCAGGATGACCGGCCAGGTGAGCATGATGTCCCGGGACGGCAGAGTGAGGGGCCAGATGGTGATGTGGCATGGGGAAGCCGGCCTGATGTGGGAGAGGGGGGAAGCCGGGAGGAGGGATGGACATGGTCTGCATCGGGGACACGGCAGAGTTTACAACAATGCCCTTGCCACAGTCTCCACCGTTGATCGGAGTCCCGGGCATCTCATCGTCAGAGATTTCCATGTCCTCTCCCGACGACTGATGACACTGTGTGAAAAAGGGATAGGAAAAGGGACCCGTCAGGACTATGCAAGGTCTATTTTTCACAGGTTATGCAAGCATAATCATCTGCCCTTTCACCTCCATGAGTAAACGCAGTCTACATATGGAGGCTTAAGATCGAAAGGCTCAGGAAAAGTTAGTAAGGCCCCTTTGGTTTTAACAAGAATTATGGGTGTAGTTTAATATTATTCAGTATTAGTTCTGTACAATACCTGATTTTTAGTAACAATACCAAATCAATAATTTTTATTTAGACACTTTACTTGTCATATGTCTCCAAAAAGAAGCCAGAGTTCTTAAATGTTAAATGTTTAAGCACAAGCAGTCACTCCAGAACTTTGCCTGAATAAAATCTAAATGAGGAAAAATATGTACAAAGAATAAGTAAACAAAATTACTAATGTGACAGAGTGTTCAATGCCATCCTACAGTATTATTAGTCACTACCAAAAAGTTTCTGAGGTTTGATATTCAGTGAGTCAGAAAGAGCAACAAATAATTCAAGGGCTGATCTAAGTTCAAAGTTTGGTATTCGTGCTAGCACAACTGACCCGTGTGGTAGTTCAGCACGTTTCCAAATAAAGCCGTTTGCTCTGGGCATCAAACTTTTTATTCCTAAAACCATAGTAGATAATGTGAATGCAATGATAATGTCAGCACTGAAATCTCATCCCTGCC